GGGGAAAAGTGCTGCTTTGCTTCTCTCCAAAGAGAGTGCTACATTTGTGTTTCCTAGGAAAGAGAAACACATTTGTGCCCACTCTTTAATATTGTGCGCTCATTCGCACACCATGCATTCATCAAATGACTTAGATCGCGCGGGGGGGGGGGAGCGAAGCCAGCGCCTGAACGAGCTGGACATGTTTCTATGCAGCTCTGAGAGCTTCTCCCAATTTAAGCTGTTCCTCCAGCCACTAACTTATCTGCTGGGGTCCGGTGGGGCTCCCTGGACTCCTTATCACATGGGGAAGAAAAATAAAAAGTACAGAGTGGATACACGCTCAGGCTCCAGAGATATTGTAGCTTTTATGCAACCCACTGCATGGCCTGCACCTTCCAAGAAGGCATCTGCTGGGGCCTACTCCACTCCATCGTCGGATGACGACAGCCTCCAGGATATATCTCCTCTTTCACCCCAGATACACTCTGTGCCTCGGGCACCAGTGGAGGAGGATTATTCTGCTCCTTCTGCTAAAGCCAACGTACAGGCATTGAGGCAGGATATCAAAGCCATGTTATAGGCAGATATGGCACTAGTCCAGGAGGAAGTTACCACACTAACTAGCCGAGTGGAAGCGGTGGAGGGAGACATGGGAAGCACCAAACCAGCACAATCTGCCACAGATGCTGCTCTAGGTTCATTACAGAAGAAATGTGACAACCTGACGACACAACTGGCTAGCATTGATGACAGGGCTAAAACACGCAATGTAAGAATACATGGTGTTCCTGATGCCATCTCAAACACTGAATTACCCCATTACTGCCAGAGGCTTATTGCTACCCCACTGCCACCAAAATAGGCCAAACAACTTGTGGTGGATGCCTGCTTTCGTCTCCCAAAGGTTGCCAAAGCACCCCAAGATGCACCTACTGATATACAAATACTTCTAAAATCGTGCGGAACAATCTATAGAGATTCATTAAACCCTTCCTGACAGCGGACGTACTAAGTACGTCCGACAAAAACGGTCCTACCTAGTCCATCTGCAGCATTCATTAATACTTACCCGATCGCTGCCGTTCTCCTGCAGGCGATTGTTGTTGGTCCGGGTCTAGGAGGACTGCCTGACAGAGTGGTCACATGGTTGCAATAGGCATACAGGCATCTGCCTGCAGGGGGACTGAATGGGCTGTCAGGCAGTCTCTCTGCTTCTGTAAAATAAAATAAAACAATGTTAGTAATTAAACATAAAAACAATTCCTTCATTGTAGGTATAATTTGTGGTAGAATACTGTATGCTAAAATAGATTTAAAATTTTGCATCTTTTTATATATGAATGGTGGATTTTTGGGTAGAATAGTTTTTTAAATATCGATCTTGTATCAGAATTGGCCAATGTTTCTTAATACCTTTTTCAACTATATAAGCCTTGCTGTTAAATTTTGTTATAAAAGAAACATTAAAAAAATCGTTTTTATTTTACTATACATCCAATTAATTAAATGCATGCATGTTTTCATTTGGAATACATCTATAAAACAATGATTTTTTTATTTTATTTTTGGGCAGCAGAGCATCCTTTTAAATAGCTTATCACATGAAAATATTCGCAATGCAAAATACTAAGTTCTGAGAATTTTCATGACTTTGGCCCCTGAGATAAAACAGCTGGCAAGATGACAAGATCTACTGGGGATAGTTTTAAATGGATTAGGGATGTTGTCCCAAGGTTTTGTATGGTAAATAAAGTCAGATGGTATGTTCGCAAACACAGGAAGAAATAGAAAGTTTAATGATTTTCTACAACCGGAGCACATTTACTATTAATATTTTAGCATAAAGTCTCCCATGTGTTAGAGAGTGAATTATTTATAACACTGGGCTTTCCATAAATACAATGAATACAATTTTAATTTTGTAGTTGGTCTCACAGGTAGGAGTTTTGAATTGCAGGTTAAATAAATATTGGGAGCTTTCTATCAGGATTAGTGATGTCCCGAACTGTTCGCCGAACGGTTCGCGAACGGTTCGCCACGGACTCATCATTGAGTAAACTTTGACCCTGTACCTCACAGTCAGCAGACACATTCCAGCCAATCAGCAGCAGACCCTCCCTCCCAGACCCTCCCACCTCCCGGACAGCGTCCATTTTACATTCATTGTGAAGCTGCATTCTTAGTGAGCTGTCCAGGAGGTGGGAGGGTCTAGGAGGGAGGGTCTGCTGCTGATTGGCTGGAATGTGTCTGCTGACTGTGAGGTACAGGGTCAAAGTTTACTCAATGATGAGTCCGTGGTGAACCGTTCGTGGCGAACAGTTCGGGACATCACTAATCCTTTTTTTTAAATCTTCCATTGGACTGGTTTTTAAAATTATGTAAGTATATGTATCTCCTAAAATTCTAAATGCTTCAGTCATTTAGTCCTCACGGTTCAATATAACCGTTCCTCCTCCCTTATTTGCTTGTCTGACAACCAGATTGTAATTTTCTTTTAATAGTTGTAGAGCTAGCTTCTCTTTCTTAGTAAGATTTTATTTTCCACTCTTTTTAGAAAACGTATCAAACTCAGTTAGAATCATGTTGCTAAAAACAGGATTAAAATCACCCTTCTCGCATGTTAGAAAAAATGTGGATTTATGTTTTAAATTAGAATACATTATTTAGGTGGTTGTATTCACCAATTTTTTGTTTTAGTTCAGTTGTATTTTCAACAGTTTCCATAGTCTTATCTTTCATTGTTTCAAAGAAACGTTTTATCGTTAATTTCCTTAGAAATGTATGTGTGTCTATGATTAATCCGAAATTGTTTGTGCCCTTCTGGGGAGCAAATTTCAATCCCTTGTTTAGAATTTTTAATTGCTCATTACTTATCACTTGTTTAGAAAGATTAAAGATTCCCTCCGTATTGATATTTATATCTAGTTGGACATTTCTCCCTACCCTAGATCCTATGATCCTCCTGTCGCTCCTAGGAGCTTTCTTTCTTTTTTTTTTTTGTTGGGGGGGTGTTGAGTTGTCATGGGTGGGGGAAACCTGTTTTTGTGATACCAAATGTTTTCCGATACCAAATGTTTTCCGTGGGACTTCGCCGATATTGATTCCCTATCCGTTTCTCTAAAAAAATATAATTTTTGTTTTTTTTTGGTCTTTCCCTAGTGGAATTGGCTTTTAAGGGTTTAAATTGTTCCTTCCGTCTTACCACCAACTCCTTATTTTCATTTCTTTTGGATTGAGATGGGGTGTTCATGTGGTATTTTTTTGGTTCTCTCAATTTTCCTATCATTCCTTAATAAAAGGGCATTTCTCTGGAATATTAGAACTATTTAGTTTATTAAACCTAAAAATGGTTAAGGTAGCGCAAAAAATACAGTCTAATAACATGTTAATAATAAACATAAAAACATTTATTGAATCTTATATAAAGTCTAAAAATATATTTAAAATACAATAACAAAAAAACTTTGTATAATAATAATTATTGCTATACTGAGTGTGCACACTACTAATATGGCAAAAAAAAAAAAAAAGACTGTGTCAATTAATGAAATATAAGGTAAAATAGAAATATACCATAAAAAATAGAATAAAAATATTGAAAAATAAAAATAAAAATGAGAGTAGAATGGCAGAAAAAAACAGAGTACTGAAAAAAAAAAGGGGGGGAGGGGAGTCCAACCTTGTATAGTTTGCAGACAGCTTACTGTTGGGGATGTGTGAAGTGTGAAGTGTGAAGTGTGAGTGCAGGCTCATGAAACATGTAGGATCGACGGAGAAGATTGGGACCAGACCAGACCTCACACAGATTCATCAAGAGCGACCGCATTTATTCATTACGAGTGGACGCAATTACTTTAACTTTCCATGTGAGCGGCCGCAACATATTCTATCGGCAGAGCACGCTCATCTCCGGCAGCTACTAACAAAGGAGACCCCCCACGTAGCAAGGCGGCCACAGGGGAAAAAGGATTTCATCTCCACTACCCTGTGCAGCTCCACAACGGGACTCCCTGGCAGTCAGCCAGCAGCACTTACTATTTGGATAGTTTGTAGCAGTAACAGCTTCAATACTCAGGGCTGAAGCAAACCTTACTCTCTTCAAATGTAATCAGAAGGATAGTAAAATAAAGAGTCATAGATAGGAAGGTTTAGATAGTGGTCTCAAGGCTGAAAAAAATAAAATAAAGAATAGGAATAGAAAAAGAAAATATCAAATTGCTGCAACCAGGAGATAGTAACTAACACTTACAATTCTTAAATGGGTGTATTCAAAACCTCAGTATTTAAATCAAAAGTTTTACTAGTAACACACTAGTAATTGCATTAATAATATGGTACACATAAATGATAACGCAATCCACTGTGTGAAGAAATGTCGATGTAGAAATGTATAATGAACTTTTCTACATATAAATCAAGTTAGTAACCAGCAATGCTATCCATCCAACACCAGCCGTTGGTCTTCATAGTATAAAGTGCAGAAGCATGTCTTTCATCAAAAAAGATTTTATTCTCTGTGTTTAAAGGCTGGAAGGAGAAAAGAACAGCCTGCTTGTAGAAAAAGCTCAACCCCAAAAACGCACAGGCGCTCTCTGTTCTGTACAGCTTGATTGCATTAAACTGCAGACTTTGCTTTAGCCACCACTTCGTTATACATTTCTACATCGACATTTCTTCACACAGTGGATTGCGTTATCATTTATGTGTACCATACTATTAATGCAATTACTAATGTTACTAGAGTAATATTGTGCTCCCATTGGCTAGTTTTCCCTGCTGTTTCAATAGAAGGGATTTCAGCCGTACACAAATAGACTCATTAGGACTGTCCTGCTCGTTTATGGGTTTTCAAACATATTAAGGACTGAAACTATTACCATTTTCTTTACTTGTTGATACAATTCATATACTTTCATTTGGTTTGTGTATATTGAAGATTTAACTGTTAGCATTACAATTGCTACTGATTTATTGTGCTACATTGTTTAGCAGACTTACCACTTCTGCAAACTTTTGATTTAAATACTGAGGTAATTAGAAGGATGTCAGCACAAACACCTCCCCAACAGTAAGCTGCCAGCAAACGATACAAGGTTGGACTTCCTCCCCCAACCCCAATTTTTTTCAGTACTCTGTTTTTTTTCTGCCATTCTACTCTCATTTTTATTTTTATTTTTTCCATATTTATTATTATATTTTTATGGTATATTTCTATTTTACCTTATATTTCATTAATTGACACAGTCTTTTTTTTTTTTTTTTATATATTACTTAGTAGTGTGCACACTCAGTATAGCAATAATTATTATTGTACAAGGTTTTTTTGTCATTGTATTTTAAATATATTTTTAGACTTCATATAAGATTCAGAAAATGTTTATATGTTTATCAACATGTGATTAGACTGTATTTTTTGCGCTACCTTAAGCATTTTTTTAAAATTCTTTATTTTTATTGTGCAGGTAGGTACAAAACTGTGTCACAATGCCACAACAGCGTATATTAGGATGTGTATACAGGTTAGGTAGTGGCATGAGTTCCTTGCACATTTTTAACATATGTATTCAAGCTTAGCATTACGAGTAGGTCTTCAGAATGAAAAATACAGCTTTTAAACAACATGCTTGAGTTACAGGAAAACAACATTGTTCAGGATTATTTCAGTTCAGGCTATTATGTATAGCTACGTGTGTGGCTCTTCTGTGGTGTAATCTGAGCTATAACACCATTATCTGAGTGGTCTGCTGGTTTACCTTAACCATTTTTAGTGTTACTTTGTCTTGTACTAGAAAGTGTAGGGATACTTTCTTCTAAAGGAGCAGCATTTTAAGGCACATCTTTCACATTGTTCACAGACACACCCTATATTAAGTGTATACGTATATTTTTTTCCCACACAATTATATTTCTTTGGATCATTCATTACAACATTGCGAGTATACTTGCTTTGCGCAGTTTACACGTATACCAGAGAAGTTCCCACTCTCTTGGTTCGTATTATACTTTCACACTCCTATCTCTTTGTTTACCACTTTTGTAATCTTCTCTATCTCTATTTAATTTTTTTCTTTAGTAGTCACAATCTTCTCTTGTAATTTTTACATTTAAGTTATTTACTATTTCTTCCAATTATTTCCTCGTTACATTCCTCACTTATTTTCAAATGTTCTATTTCTTGCATCTCTCATAGAGGTGGTCATTAACCTACAATATGCCATTATAAAAACCAGCTGAGGTCAGATAAGATAGTAGTGGATAAAAATGTAATATTTACACACATGCACTTAAAGCAATCCCCACTGCCCTGAGGGTGAAATGTATACAGAAAAACACAATACAATCAGGTAAGTGGAAAAAGTGCAAAAATGCAAAGTGCAGGCAAGACAATAGCAAAAAGGGTCACTGCAGCCCAGCCCTCCAGAAGGGGGGAAAGCAATTCAAATAACACTACCCAGAGGGAAATAAATACACCAGAGCCTGCCAGTAACATAGGCACATCAGAACATGAGTGAGAGAGTGTGGGGCAGGCATAGCCTGTCAGGGAATAGGGAAAAAGAGTAATGAGGCAGGCGGACAGGCAGAGCCTGCCAGGAAAGGGACAAATAAGCAGCAGACACAATCCAGCAAACTGACACAACAATACAATATAGACAGTGAAGAGAGCAGAAACTCTGAGCTGTCCTTGTCATGGAGCAGCAAAGAAAGAGGAGGTGCTTGGGTTCACTGTGCCTTATATATACATTACTTGTTTCTGATTGGTTCTTGTTTTTTCTTTGCTTCTATGGAGTGAAGTAAAGAAAGATATGCAAAATATTAAGCCTCCTGTCATGTTGTAAAATTATGGTTGATCAGACATATAGCTCAAATTCAAGGGTTTGTTTTGATTTTGTTTTGATCAGAACGTGTTCAATTGCCTCTAGGGGTTAATTCAATAAATTAAATTTAAATATCTAGAATACTGCATATAGTATCATTTTCAGAATGTTCTCTTTTTTTTTTACAGCTTGAGACGGTCATAGATGGTGTTATGGAAGTTACCAATCAGAAGTTACGTGATGTTCAAAGTATGTAGAAATACATTTTAAATTCTCTTTCACAATACACGTTTATTGTACTTTTTGACACATTAAAAAAAAAAAAAAAAAGATTAAATTCCTCTGGAAACGGTTGATCAGGCATTTGTGCACTAAAGCTTCATGAAAATATTAAAGGACCACTCTAGACACCCAGACCACTTCAGCTTAATGAAGTGGTCTGGGTGCCAGGTCCAGCTAGGGTTAACCCATTTTTTTATAAACATAGCAGTTTCAGAGAAACTGTTATGTTTATAAATGGGTTAATCCAGCCCTCAAATCCTCTAGTGGCTGTCTCATTGACAGCCGCTAGAGGCACTTGCGTGATTCTCACTGTGAAAATCACAGTGAGAGCACGCAAGCGTCCATAGGAAAGCATTATGAATGCTTTCCTATGCGACCGGCTGAATGCGCGCGCAGCTCTTGCCGCGCGTGCGCATTCAGCCGACGGGGCAGATCGGAGGAGGAGAGAAGGAGGAGAGCTCTCCGCCCAGCGCTGGAAAAAGGTAAGTTTAAACCCCTTTCCCCTTTCCAGAGCCGGGCGGGAGGGGGACCCTGAGGGTGGGGGCACCCTCAGTGCACTATAGTGCCAGGAAAACGAGTATGTTTTCCTGGCACTATAGTGGTTTTTTAATTACAGACGCAAAACAATCCCGCTAAATGTACATTAGTGTATTCGTGTAATCCATATTTTACATTTATTACTTTATCTAATGAGTCTGCTGTCTGTCTGGTATTTCACAGAGCCCACTTCGACTACTGAAGATGCAGTTGTTCAAGTTGTAGCAACAGACGTTAAATTAGTTGAAGGAGTTTTGCAAATTACATCAAATGTAAGTCTATTTGTTTAGTTGTGATACTTTTAAAAAATCCATACAAAGAATACAAATTGCAATGATACACTGTGTGTGAATTCGAATTCTAAGTTATGACTTACTAAGTATATTTTTTTCTTAAGCAAAGATTTCAGATCAATTCAGTATTAAATGAAACTTCACATATAAAGTGATCCCATCATGAAAGGAAATGATCCAATATTTACAATAAATGTATCCCTCAAGGGCGGGTGTCGGACACCAGGTGTGGACTACATCTACCCTGATGTTTTTACAGCATTATAACTGTTAGAGTATTATGGGAGATGTAGTCCACAACATCTGGAGTGCCGAAGGTTGCTTACCCCTGCTTCTAGGGAACACCAAATAACACATAGAGTAAGTATTGAACAAAGGTATTCTAAGACTGATAGAACCTGGGATTATCTACCCCCAGCAGCTTAGTTACACACAATCAGCTGAAACAGAACTATAAAAAAGGGATATATAGGTAATAAGTCAATATTAAAGTGGAGCGCTTTTAAAGGAAAAAATTATAAACATACATAAATAGCTTACCCCTCAATAATACACCAAACAAAATATATGAAATAAAAGACCATAAACACTATATAGTGCAGATAGTACAAAGTTCTTATTATATAATAAATGGTGGTTTTAACAACTCACATGGACACGGACATGTACATAACTAGCTCAGTAGACGGCCCTTTTATGCTCTTAAGGGGGGGTAGGTAGGGTATTTCTATTGGGGTGAGTAACTAGGGGCTTGGGGAACCCTTGTCACTTTCTTATTTGTGGTCCCCACACGCCGCTAATGGGTGGGTACCTTGGGGGTACATTAGGTCCCCCGCATTATTTATTTGCTTAGGGTCCCCACCCGCCGCTCATGGCTGGGGACCAGGGGGGACATTAGGTTCCCCCATTTATATTAACCCCTTAAGGACGGCGGCCGTGCTATGCCATCCTTGTGGACCCGGCTCTAAACGCCGGGGGGCGGCATAGCACGTCCCTGCCGTCCTTTCTACTTTCGCCAGCGATCGCGATGCAGGGACTCACCTGGCAGCCCAGGGAGTCCCCCTCCATCCGTTCCAGCCCCCCTGGCCCATGTGATCGTGAGGTCCTTGCGTAGAGTTCGCGATCATATGGACGGCACAGCCGTCCCAAAAAAATGATCGAAGTATGTGTGTGTGTATATATATTACACACACACACATAAATAGTCTAAGTGTATTTTAATCATGGGGGTAATTCTCATTCCTGTGCTACCATACGGTCTCAAAGGCAACGTAACCAATCTGGCGAATTTCAATGTGAAAAAAATGAAAAGGGTAACATGCTATATTTGACCTTGTAACTTCCCAAAACACCAGTTTCCAGTTTCCGGCCAGACTGAAAGGAAGTGTGCACACTCCCTACTGTATGAGCAACAGTTTATAGTCTGACTCGGTTATTCAGTGGAATCGCCTCTAGTGGCTGTCAGGAGGATAGAATGTCAGGAAGACAGTCACTAGAGGCATGTTAAACCCTGCAATCATAACATCACCATATCTACTGAAAAGCAATGTTTTACACTACAGGGTTAAAACTAAAGAGCCACTACACTCAGTCCACTTGATTGAGATGGAGTGATCTGGGTGCCTTCAGTGTCCTTTTAAATTGTAAATTTACTTTGAATTCTCACTTTAGTAAATAACCCTTAGATTCTTACATCTCAACATTCCTCCATACTGTATTCCATTCCGCAAATTGACTTTTATACCACCCCACATACTGGCTCCGTCATACCGCCCCACATCCTGACTTTGTCATACCACCCCACATACTGGCTGACTCAGTTCAACCACCCCACATATTTGCTCTGTCAAACAACCCCACATACTGGCTTTGTCATACTACCCCACATACTTACTACGTCATACCACTCCACATACTTGCTCCGTCATACCACCCCACATTCTGACTCCATCATACCACCCCACATACTGGCTCCATTACACCACCCCACATACTGGCACTGTCATACCACCCCACATTCTGACTCCGCCATACCACCCCACATCCTGACTCTGTCATACCACCCCACATATTGGCTCCATTACACCACCCACATACTAGTTCGGTCATACTGCCCCACATACTGGCTCGGTCATACCGCCCCACATACTGGCTCGGTCATACCGCCCCACATACTGTCTTCATTACACCACATTACACCACCCCACATACTGGCTCTGTCATACCACCCCACATACTGGCTTCATTACACCACCCCACATACTGACTCGATGTCACTGCAGCTATATGATCCACAATCCTTTTTTCTTCTGCTTTTATTCTGAAAATCATACATTTATGGGTAAAATCTTAACAATCAAGTGTGGTAAGGTGGACATTTCTGTAATTTTTTTTAGTCATTCTTAATAGAAAATGTATGTTTTTTGTACTCCTTAGATCATTGATAAAGTTACGAAAACAGCACTGGAATGTTTAATTAATCCAGCGATTGTATCACCATTAAATTATCTAATTTCGATCAATATTCAAGAAAAGTTACTTTCTTCATTTTTAAGCCTTTCAGGTCTGTCTGCAAAGGTAAGGAAGTATTGACTGAATTTGTTAATTTAATTTAAGCAATGCGTGTTATATTACAGAAGATGTTTATTGTTGTCCATAATTAGTATGTATGTAAATAGGGTCACTGTACGTATAGTTTGTGCGGATCTACAAAACTCACCTGTAGTTACCCGAGGGTAATAGCCTCTCACTAAACCTCAATGAGCCATTTATATTATATTATAGGACAGTGATGGCAAACCTTTTTGAGCAATACATGCTAACTTTTTTTTCCTTAAAGTGCCAACACGGCAATTAAACCTCAATACTGAGGTTTAAGTTTAGAAAAAACAACTCGTACTGTTGTCCGAACTAGTTAACAACTTTTGTTTTAAAAGAACACAACAACAGAGAGTTCAATGATACAAATTTTAAATGATATAAATAGATAAAATTAAGCTTATATTAATTAGTATCTCCAACAAATACTATGCACACACACACAGACTGCTGAATACAGAGACTGATGAATACACACACAAAGTCTGCTGAATACACACACACAAGACTGCTGAATACAGAGACTGATGAATACACACAAACACAGTCTGTTGAATATACATACAGATTGCTGAGCACACACTCACACAGACTGCTGAATACATACACACACACAGTCCGCTGAATACACACACTGCTGAGTGCACACACACACACACACACAGACTACTGAATACACACACAGACTGCTGAATATACACACATACTGCATTGAGGGGTGTAGTGTATGTGTTTATGTGTGGGGTGTTGTGTGTGTGTGTGTGGGGTGTTGTGTGTGTGTGTGTGTGTGTGTGAGGGGTGTTGTGTGTGTATGAGAGGTGGTGTGTGTGGGTGCGAGGGGTGCTGTGTGTGTGTGTTAGGGGTGCTGTGTGTGTGGGGCTGGGGTAAAGGTGTTTAAAAAAAAAATTATGCTAAATCGGTATCCCCCCCTCCCTCCTCCTTACCTTTAATGAAGGAGGGGGGGGACACAGCCATCCCTGGTGGTCCGGTGATGGCAAGCACTGCTTCCGTATTGGGAGGCAGGGAGAGGGATCTGTGAAGCAGCTCCCCTGTCCTCCCGCGCGATGCTGTGTAGAGTGTTGCCATGGTAACTGAATACATACACACACAGTCCGCTGAATACACACACTGCTGAGTGCACACACACACACAGACTGCTGAATACACACTCATACTGCATTAAGGGGTGTAGTGTATATGTTTATGTGTGGGGTGTTGTGTGTGTGTGTATGAAGGGTGTTGTGTGTGTATGAGAGGTGGTGTGTGTGGGTGCGAGGGGTGCTCTGTGTGTGTGAGGGGTGGGGGGTAGGGGTGCTGTGTGTGTGGGGCTGGGATAAAGGTGTTTAAAAAAAAAAATTATGCTAAATCGGTATCCCCCCTCCCTCCTCCTTACCTTTAATGAAGGAGGGGGGGACACAGCCATCCCTGGTGGTCCGGTGATGGCAAGCACTGCTTCCGTATCGGGAGGCAGGGAGAGGGATCTGTGAAGCAGCTCCCCTGTCCTCCCGCGTGATGCTGTGTAGAGCGTTGCCATGGTAATGTGCGGCAACGCTCCACACAGCTTGCTCGCGGGAGGACAGGGGAGCTGCTTCACAGATCCCTCCCACTGCCTCCCGACACGGAAGCAGAGTAGGTGCCTGCCATTTTGGGCAGGCAGGTGCCTACTCTGCATTGATGGCGAACCTATGGCCGCGTGCCCACAGAAAGGGCCCGGCGTGCCCACAGAAAGGGCCCGGCGTGCCCACAGAAAGGGCCCGGCGTGCCACCTGTGGCACGGGTGCCATAGGTTCGCCATCACTGTTATAGGATATTACTAACTGCTTCTTTATTAGTTGTTCCTGGTAATAGTGTATGTAACCCTTTTTTGCCCTGCTCCTGGCAACAAGCCATAGCTAGCAGCAGTTACTCCTTCTTCTGTCGCTGACAGGGATCCTGAGCCTCCGCTATAGTTGGGAGATTGGGACATCTTGTTCTGACGCAGTGCCTTCACTCAGTGCAACTTCTGTTTATGGGGAACCCACCCCACTGAGTAGATGAGTATCCTCCACTTAATAACTCAGAGACTTGAAATAACTACAGACATGGAAATACACACTGTATTCTGGTTAAAGAGATAGACATATAACAGCAGAAATAACAATGCAGTTCCTGGCTAATGTTAAATGATGATAAAATCCCTGACACAGTCACAAGAGTCTTTAGCAGCAGGAATGCAGACAACAAACTTCTCTTAATAACATCAATAACTAAATCTGAACAGTTAAACTCCTAGGTACCTGCAGGTAAATTATGTGCACAACGTTGGGGCCATTAGGTGTAGCTAGCGCTACCCAGAGACAGTTATAATGGAGAATCCTGAAGCAATCTCTGGAGACAGGACCAGCAGAATGTAGGACAGCAGCAGAACAGCAATGGCAATCCTTTCTCTTCCTTCTGCTGACAGGATGCAAAAGCTTATTCACACTCCTGCAGAGGGTCCTGAATCTGCAGGGAGCTGGACATTAAATAACAGTCTTCTAATTCTTCTCCTTCACACTCCTGCAGGAAGTTCCGGAATCTGCAGGGAGCTGGACATTAAATAACAAGTCTTCAAATTCTCCTCCTTCACACTCCTGCAGGAAGCTGGACCTTAAATAACAGTCTTCTAATTCTCTTAGCAGAGCAGTAGACAGTCTCCAGCTTCTTGTAGTTGCAGTGCATTAGCCCTCCCCTGTTATTATTTCACTGTCCCAGTAGTAATAGACCATTGAAACAGGGAGGAACACACTTTCTAGAAGCAGACTCAGAGAACATGGCTTCTCCCCTGTCCTCTTCTGCCTGCCATCCAAACCCTTCCTCCACACATGACAGGGCAAAGGGCAAAGTTCAATATCTCAAAACTTAAAGCAAAACAGTAAAATATAGCAGTCTGTTACATGTATATAAAATTCTATCGTAAATCACTGTTTGTGTTTACTATTCCCATCCTTTGTGCGACTTATCTCAACAAAATGACCATTTACTCCCCAAATGTCACAATTAACAAGGAGTGAGCAAGTCATCTCTTCTATCATTGTCTAATGTATGGGGGATGGGTGAAAGGCCAGTAATTCCTTCCCACATTCAAAGCGCCATTAGATATTAAGGAAGGAGCATTGCTAGTAATGGAGTAATGGATTCCCAAATCCCAAATGCTCACTCATTCTAATCACAAAATTCTCGATACCCGCCTCAGTAATAAAGAATGATATCGATACAATATCCGATGCCCAAAGCCTAGACTGGCGGTGTGACGGGGTGGCTGACTGCTTCTTAATTGTTTGTAAATATGTATTTTTTATTACCAGTTAATGTGATTGCAGCCAGCTGCCATTATCAACCTGGGAGGGTGAATGGCTTCAGTGGAAAGCAGTGTCTATAGGTGCCCCCTCCTTCCCAGAATGCCCCCATATCCTCCCTTTCCATGGAATCTCCTTAGTGACTGACTGCGATCCCTGCCCAAGTGGCATATCCATACACTATGTACAATACAGGGATATATACACAATACACAGAGTGAATATAATACAGAGATACCCATACAATACTAAGAGCTAGGTACAATACAGGGATATATATAATACAGTGATACCCATACATTACTCAGAGCTAGGTACAATACAGGGATATATATATATATATATATATATATATATAAATACAACGAATAGCTGCACTCACGGTAAATAAAAAGCAAAATTTATTAGAAATAAGCTAAAACATCAATGATCAACGTTTCAGTCCGACCAGGACTTTCCTCAGGATCAATAAAAAGATGAAAAACATTATATACACAAAACAGGACATTTATACATAGATCTATTAAGAATGTGAACTTACCCCAGGTGAAAACCGCCATACAATCGGCGTTCCAACCCGTTCAGTGCGCCTGAGCGAACCGACTCCGCCCCCCGTCATGACGTCATGACGTGATCGTGGCCAGGTCATTGCCATAGTGATGCTAGACAACAAAGCATCACGGCTATTAGTTGAATGCCGGCAAACAGACCGCCGCGACCATTGCCATGGTGATGCTGATAAACAAAGCATCTCCATCGGCAATGAATATGAGAGAGAGCTAGCCCGGATATAAACATTAGTGTAATCAAATAAGCATGTGAACAAGATAAAAAGATAAAAACAATATGGAAATGTGGATATAAAATATCTAAGTGGGCCATACACTATATTAGATTAATACTTATCAGTGCAATTATAATGCTTTAAGATATCACATATTTAAATGGATGTGTACATAGATTCCATATCCAATATTAATGAGTGCATAGCCAGTGTAGCTGAATAAATAATACATGTATGTAAAAATATATATATATATATATAGTGCTCATAAGGGAAATGTATGCTGCAACATACAGTGCAACCCATATTTGGGACTAATTAGCCACTTTAAACGCCGATTGTATGGCGGTTTTCACCTGGGGTAAGTTCACATTCTTAATAGATCTATGTATAAATGTCCTATTTTGTGTATATACTGTTTTTCATCTTTTTATTGATCCTGAGGAAAGTCCTGGTCGGACTGAAACGTTGATCATTGATGTTTTAGCTTATTTCTAATAAATTTTGCTTTATATTTACCGTGAGTGCAGCTATTCGTTGGATTTTTATATGGACGGCTACATTTAGCTAGCACCCGGGATACAAGGACAATTAGAGCGTGAGTGCAGGGGCTTTTGGTATTTTTTTATATATATATATATATATGTATATATATATAATAAACAATACACACGCACTTTCCTATGTACTAAACAGCAACTTCAATGTTGACAGATTTTATTAGTTTCCATCCCCCCATGTTTCATATATATATATATATATATATATATATATTTGGGAGTCTAGCCAACTCCTTGGTTTTGCACCCCTCCCTGTTACAGGTGCCTCATCTCAGGTCCCTATTAAGTCTTGTACTGCAGAGAGCCTCAGATGGAATTTTTTCCCCAATAAGTGGGTTAATCTCATAAGAACAGACATTAGGCTGTTAGTGTAGGACCTGCCAAAGATGGGGTACATTGACGTTGTGGCAGGCTTATACAATGTATGATCATATAATGTAACTAAATCCCCATTATCTTTTGCCTAGATTAGGTGTTTTTAGAAAAAACTTTTTAAAAAACTAATAAAATCTGTCAACATTGAAGTTGCTGTTTAGTAGATAGGAGAGTGCGCTGGATCGTGTGTATTGTTTATTGTATAATATGGCCCCCAGCAGCACCCCATTTAAGCATGTTCAGGTGAGTGCAACCACCCCCCCACCCCCATGTTATATATATATATATATATATATATATATATATATATATATATATACAAAAAGAAAAAACCCATACCACACCTTAGAGATATTTCACAAAAAGATTTTTATTCACATTATGCATTATCAAAACATGCAAAGAAATCACCTAACCACATAACCACATAAGTACAGGCATATAAAGTGCTCAATGCCTTAACCCCAGTGTAACAAGAGGTATACTGACCCGTCTGGAGACCACAGCACTCCAACGTTTCGACACTACGTCTTCCTCAAGGGGTAATCTAAAACAACTAAGGTCCTGTTACCATTTATAAAGACCCACCACATAACCCTAAGTGGAATAATAAAACAAGGTGAGAGGAGGGTGGGATATCCAAAGAATCTCTGTAACCGCATGTTACTTCCGCATGTAGCGTCTGACGTCATTGTGCATGCGCACGCAACGTGTGACGTTATAATGACACGTGACTACGTGTTAACAGCAAATGGGGGCGGTCTAAAGGAGGAGTGAGTGGGTTTCTAATATCGGAAGGATCCCAGGACCAATACTAATGTAAACCACAAAGGTCCAAGCCTAACAAAACCGCACATGACTGCTGACTCCTTTAAACACCAAATCCCGTTATCCTTCCATTCCCAATAAGTAAAGCAACAGCATGTTAAGTGGGTAAAGGCAACGGCCACAGCTTTATTGAAACCAGCATAACCAAATACTGTGGGCTGCTGGTTTTACCCAGCAGGCAGGTACACTTTAAACTTCTTCCAGAGCCTCTTCAGCCTGTCCTTCGTCATCAACCAAATTCAGACTGCGACTCCCCAAGCCCGTCCGGGCATTATTCATTTACCAAACTTGCCGGTGCAGGAAACCCGCAGCTGTGACAAAATTAAAAACAAAGAAAACACAACACAAAACAACAATTACAGAACACAAAAATTGAAGAGGGTGGGCAGGGAAAGACACTGCCAGGCTCCCTCAGCATTGTTCACCAGTAGTCCGGTAATTTTCCCGGAATTCCCGGCTGCCAACTGCAAAACCAACTATATCCATTTAGTTGCTATGCCAACCCCTCAGGGCAGCAGTCATATACATTCACACACACAAGAATACTCTCTGTCAGACACACACACACACACTCTCAGGCACATACACAGGTCGACATTGCATCAATGTGTATGTGTGCATGTATTGCAACTCTATTTTTTCACTTTGTTGTTAGTGGGGCCTCATGTTTGAGTCTCGCCTAAGGCCTCATTAAGTCTAGAGCTGCATCTGCTTTGGACTATGATGAGCTTATCAACTGCTTTGCCACACAGAAGCTCTTATTTTGTCATTAAAGTAAATCAATTCTATATTTTTACTTCACATAATTAAAAATACTTCTATAGGCAATCTACAAATTGTATAACATTAACCTGTTATTGTTTATTCTACAGACACAGATCCCGTCAACCCCGTTTAAAGATCAAGTTTCAGAGGTAAGTGACGTTATTTATCAGGTTTTAGGGGGTAAGTGGCCCAGAATCATTCGATTTCCTCCTGTTATGAAGCAATCCAAGTCAGGATGAGAGAACCCAGTTTGTTGGATCAGAAATATATGATAAAGGATGTAATAAAGATGGCAGACTGGAGTGCCTCCAAACACCATAACCACTGCCTGGGGAATAAATTTGGTTCTTAAATAAACAGCAATGACCTCATACACGAAGCACGTAGAGACATCTCCAAGAATTGCTTTGTATTTCAGAAAAAATTTGCTTTGATGAAAAATCGCAATATTACAAGCAACATTTCTATTGTAGATTGTACTGTTATATAAATGGGACATTCAGTAAATGTTGCCATATAACGAGGAGACTTATTTATCCAGACACAAAATTAGCATTTTTGTTTCTGTTTTTTTTCATAGGATGTAACTCTAGAAGACAATCTAGATTTGGAAATGTCTATTACATCTGCAAATTGCTCTCTTCGAAAAGCTGGGTCTACACTTTCTTTAGGTGCAGCAGTTAAAGTGGTCAGTGAATCTCTCGGAGTTCTTGTGTCTGCGCCAGCTGTAAGTATCCATCTTAACAATTAGGGATGTGCATGGGAAAGAGAGTGAGAGCGAGTAGAGCTACCCTACTCCAACCACTAACCCTACCCCAACTCCAACCCCTAACCCCAACCCTCTCCTGTTTTGCCACTTTTCAGAGATCCAAACATTTTGGAAATTCGGTGGTTCGGTTCGGCATTCCGAAACTTCAGAAATTTGGAAGCATCCGAATGTCCAAGTTTCCGAGAACAAAACGAATTGCACATGTCTATTAACAATTTAGTAACTGATTAGATGGAAAAGATGCACACTAAAATGTGGCTTAGAATAAATATTATTTTAGAGAAATATTTCGCCAAGGGGAAAGTCATAAACCTGTTCTTTAGTTTCTGCAGCAAATAACATACTTGTGCATTCAGATTCAAACAAATTACAATTCTGGGCTGATCAGCTTTTTGGGCGAATTAACAAACTCCGATGTGCCATATATACGTATAACTGAGCAAACGACTAACAAGATGGGCAAACATGGTTCAGTATTATGATTGGTTTATTAGTTTGCCCTTTTTGCTTTGTTGGAATGTTTTCCTAAATATATTTAGGAAAACAAAGAAAAATAAAGGGCCAATGTGAGAATGAGGCTCCCTGGATATAATCCAGTATCCTATAGTATAGACTGGTAAAAAATAATGACAATAAAAGGTAGTAATAACAAAACATAATCAGAACTATTTACAAATAGAGTTGCGTGGACACCTGGATGTTCGGGTTCGCCAAGTTCGGCCGAACTTCATCAAAAAGTTCAAGTTCAGCTCGAACTTGACCCCAAACTTGACCCCGAACTTTTGGGCACTAAAATGCCTCTTAAAAACTCCTGGAAAGGGCTAGAGGGTTGCAAAAGGAAGTAAAATGGGGGTAAAAGTGCCCTGCAAACAAATGTGGATAGGGAAATCACTTAAAATAACTTAAAATAACATAAAATAAACAGCTGCTTAGTAGATAACTCCCTAATTCCCACGGTATTAGGGAGCTATCTACCAAAAGGCTGAAAGACCTAAATTGGTCTTTGAGCTACATTTACTAATACTAAGTAAAGATTACTTAGTATTAGTAAATTCAGCCCCTACTCGCTATACCGCGAGTAGGGTCGTGTCTAGTAAACAGTGAGCAGCCAAAAAAAAACAAAAAACTATTGGCCCCCACCCCTGAACGGCGGGTGGGGGTCCTAAAGTAAAATAAGGGGGGGGAACCTATTGTCCTCCCCCCCGGCCCCCACCAGGGCACGGTGGGTGGGGGCCCTAACAGTGGCGTCTCTAGGATTCATTTTAGGGGGTGCTCATGGTGGGCCAGGGACAAAAGAAGAGGGGCACATTTAACCCCGCCCTCACCGCCCCACGGTGGGCACATTTAAGCCCCGCCCCCGACACAATGTGTGGTGTGTTGTTTTTTTTATAATCCCTGGTGGAGGATTCATTATTTTCCACCAGGGATTTTTAAAAAACAAACACATTTCCCTTGGTACAGTGCCATAGTTGCCAACATTTGAATACAATTTCCAAGAACATTTTGCAGCACAGCTATCAATTACTACCTTGAAAGATAACCACACCCACTGCTGCAAAACTCGACCCACTATGTCCAACCCACATAATTAATCTCTATTCCAAAGAACTTTCCCACGCTGTGTAAAATGACACAGAGCACTCTGATTGGTGGATTTCAAGCCGTCCAATCGGAGTATTGTGACAGGTAAATGTAGAGACTTACCTGTCAGTCTCTTCATTTATCTGTCAGAGCACTCTGACTGGATGGCTTAAACCCACCAATCATAGTGCTCAGAGCCTAATTGCAGGGCAATGCCTTATAAGCCTTCCCCCGCCCTGCAGAGCTCAGTCTGCCCGGAGCCCTCCATGGGTGAAAACTGATTTTTTTTTTGGATTTTTCTTTTTTTAAAGTGCGTTGGTTATTATGGATTTTTATTTGGCCTTTTTTGGAGCTGAAAAAGGAAGATTTTAGAAGAAAGAATGGTAAGTTTTTTTGTTTTTTTCTTACAGGTATTTAGATAAGGGTCCCCCCTCATTATTTTTAGGATGAGGGGGGTAGGTAGGGGTTATTTTTTTGGGGGAGGGTTACATTTTTATTTAGGGCCCCGACCCACCCCTCAGGGGTGGGGGACAGGGGGGAGGACAATAGCCCCCCTTATTCTAAATTTAGGGCCCCCACCCACCACTCAGGGCTCATAAGGGAAATGTATGCTGCAACATACAGTGCAACCCATATTTGGGACTAATTAGCCACTTTAAACGCCGATTGTATGGCGGTTTTCACCTGGGGTAAGTTCACATTCTTAATAGATCTATGTATAAATGTCCTATTTTGTGTATATACTGTTTTTCATCTTTTTATTGATCCTGAGGAAAGTCCTGGTCGGACTGAAACGTTGATCATTGATGTTTTAGCTTATTTCTAATAAATTTTGCTTTATATTTACCGTGAGTGCAGCTATTCGTTGGATTTTTATATGGACGGCTACATTTAGCTAGCACCCGGGATACAAGGACAATTAGAGCGTGAGTGCAGGGGCTTTTGGTATTTTTTTATATATATATATATATATGTATATATATATAATAAACAATACACACGCACTTTCCTATGTACTAAACAGCAACTTCAATGTTGACAGATTTTATTAGTTTCCATCCCCCCATGTTTCATATATATATATATATATATATATATATATTTGGGAGTCTAGCCAACTCCTTGGTTTTGCACCCCTCCCTGTTACAGGTGCCTCATCTCAGGTCCCTATTAAGTCTTGTACTGCAGAGAGCCTCAGATGGAATTTTTTCCCCAATAAGTGGGTTAATCTCATAAGAACAGACATTAGGCTGTTAGTGTAGGACCTGCCAAAGATGGGGTACATTGACGTTGTGGCAGGCTTATACAATGTATGATCATATAATGTAACTAAATCCCCATTATCTTTTGCCTAGATTAGGTGTTTTTAGAAAAAACTTTTTAAAAAACTAATAAAATCTGTCAACATTGAAGTTGCTGTTTAGTAGATAGGAGAGTGCGCTGGATCGTGTGTATTGTTTATTGTATAATATGGCCCCCAGCAGCACCCCATTTAAGCATGTTCAGGTGAGTGCAACCACCCCCCCACCCCCATGTTATATATATATATATATATATATATATATATATATATATATATATACAAAAAGAAAAAACCCATACCACACCTTAGAGATATTTCACAAAAAGATTTTTATTCACATTATGCATTATCAAAACATGCAAAGAAATCACCTAACCACATAACCACATAAGTACAGGCATATAAAGTGCTCAATGCCTTAACCCCAGTGTAACAAGAGGTATACTGACCCGTCTGGAGACCACAGCACTCCAACGTTTCGACACTACGTCTTCCTCAAGGGGTAATCTAAAACAACTAAGGTCCTGTTACCATTTATAAAGACCCACCACATAACCCTAAGTGGAATAATAAAACAAGGTGAGAGGAGGGTGGGATATCCAAAGAATCTCTGTAACCGCATGTTACTTCCGCATGTAGCGTCTGACGTCATTGTGCATGCGCACGCAACGTGTGACGTTATAATGACACGTGACTACGTGTTAACAGCAAATGGGGGCGGTCTAAAGGAGGAGTGAGTGGGTTTCTAATATCGGAAGGATCCCAGGACCAATACTAATGTAAACCACAAAGGTCCAAGCCTAACAAAACCGCACATGACTGCTGACTCCTTTAAACACCAAATCCCGTTATCCTTCCATTCCCAATAAGTAAAGCAACAGCATGTTAAGTGGGTAAAGGCAACGGCCACAGCTTTATTGAAACCAGCATAACCAAATACTGTGGGCTGCTGGTTTTACCCAGCAGGCAGGTACACTTTAAACTTCTTCCAGAGCCTCTTCAGCCTGTCCTTCGTCATCAACCAAATTCAGACTGCGACTCCCCAAGCCCGTCCGGGCATTATTCATTTACCAAACTTGCCGGTGCAGGAAACCCGCAGCTGTGACAAAATTAAAAACAAAGAAAACACAACACAAAACAACAATTACAGAACACAAAAATTGAAGAGGGTGGGCAGGGAAAGACACTGCCAGGCTCCCTCAGCATTGTTCACCAGTAGTCCGGTAATTTTCCCGGAATTCCCGGCTGCCAACTGCAAAACCAACTATATCCATTTAGTTGCTATGCCAACCCCTCAGGGCAGCAGTCATATACATTCACACACACAAGAATACTCTCTGTCAGACACACACACACACACTCTCAGGCACATACACAGGTCGACATTGCATCAATGTGTATGTGTGCATGTATTGCAACTCTATTTTTTCACTTTGTTGTTAGTGGGGCCTCATGTTTGAGTCTCGCCTAAGGCCTCATTAAGTCTAGAGCTGCATCTGCTTTGGACTATGATGAGCTTATCAACTGCTTTGCCACACAGAAGCTCTTATTTTGTCATTAAAGTAAATCAATTCTATATTTTTACTTCACATAATTAAAAATACTTCTATAGGCAATCTACAAATTGTATAACATTAACCTGTTATTGTTTATTCTACAGACACAGATCCCGTCAACCCCGTTTAAAGATCAAGTTTCAGAGGTAAGTGACGTTATTTATCAGGTTTTAGGGGGTAAGTGGCCCAGAATCATTCGATTTCCTCCTGTTATGAAGCAATCCAAGTCAGGATGAGAGAACCCAGTTTGTTGGATCAGAAATATATGATAAAGGATGTAATAAAGATGGCAGACTGGAGTGCCTCCAAACACCATAACCACTGCCTGGGGAATAAATTTGGTTCTTAAATAAACAGCAATGACCTCATACACGAAGCACGTAGAGACATCTCCAAGAATTGCTTTGTATTTCAGAAAAAATTTGCTTTGATGAAAAATCGCAATATTACAAGCAACATTTCTATTGTAGATTGTACTGTTATATAAATGGGACATTCAGTAAATGTTGCCATATAACGAGGAGACTTATTTATCCAGACACAAAATTAGCATTTTTGTTTCTGTTTTTTTTCATAGGATGTAACTCTAGAAGACAATCTAGATTTGGAAATGTCTATTACATCTGCAAATTGCTCTCTTCGAAAAGCTGGGTCTACACTTTCTTTAGGTGCAGCAGTTAAAGTGGTCAGTGAATCTCTCGGAGTTCTTGTGTCTGCGCCAGCTGTAAGTATCCATCTTAACAATTAGGGATGTGCATGGGAAAGAGAGTGAGAGCGAGTAGAGCTACCCTACTCCAACCACTAACCCTACCCCAACTCCAACCCCTAACCCCAACCCTCTCCTGTTTTGCCACTTTTCAGAGATCCAAACATTTTGGAAATTCGGTGGTTCGGTTCGGCATTCCGAAACTTCAGAAATTTGGAAGCATCCGAATGTCCAAGTTTCCGAGAACAAAACGAATTGCACATGTCTATTAACAATTTAGTAACTGATTAGATGGAAAAGATGCACACTAAAATGTGGCTTAGAATAAATATTATTTTAGAGAAATATTTCGCCAAGGGGAAAGTCATAAACCTGTTCTTTAGTTTCTGCAGCAAATAACATACTTGTGCATTCAGATTCAAACAAATTACAATTCTGGGCTGATCAGCTTTTTGGGCGAATTAACAAACTCCGATGTGCCATATATACGTATAACTGAGCAAACGACTAACAAGATGGGCAAACATGGTTCAGTATTATGATTGGTTTATTAGTTTGCCCTTTTTGCTTTGTTGGAATGTTTTCCTAAATATATTTAGGAAAACAAAGAAAAATAAAGGGCCAATGTGAGAATGAGGCTCCCTGGATATAATCCAGTATCCTATAGTATAGACTGGTAAAAAATAATGACAATAAAAGGTAGTAATAACAAAACATAATCAGAACTATTTACAAATAGAGTTGCGTGGACACCTGGATGTTCGGGTTCGCCAAGTTCGGCCGAACTTCATCAAAAAGTTCAAGTTCAGCTCGAACTTGACCCCAAACTTGACCCCGAACTTTTGGGCACTAAAATGCCTCTTAAAAACTCCTGGAAAGGGCTAGAGGGTTGCAAAAGGAAGTAAAATGGGGGTAAAAGTGCCCTGCAAACAAATGTGGATAGGGAAATCACTTAAAATAACTTAAAATAACATAAAATAAACAGCTGCTTAGTAGATAACTCCCTAATTCCCACGGTATTAGGGAGCTATCTACCAAAAGGCTGAAAGACCTAAATTGGTCTTTGAGCTACATTTACTAATACTAAGTAAAGATTACTTAGTATTAGTAAATTCAGCCCCTACTCGCTATACCGCGAGTAGGGTCGTGTCTAGTAAACAGTGAGCAGCCAAAAAAAAACAAAAAACTATTGGCCCCCACCCCTGAACGGCGGGTGGGGGTCCTAAAGTAAAATAAGGGGGGGGAACCTATTGTCCTCCCCCCCGGCCCCCACCAGGGCACGGTGGGTGGGGGCCCTAACAGTGGCGTCTCTAGGATTCATTTTAGGGGGTGCTCATGGTGGGCCAGGGACAAAAGAAGAGGGGCACATTTAACCCCGCCCTCACCGCCCCACGGTGGGCACATTTAAGCCCCGCCCCCGACACAATGTGTGGTGTGTTGTTTTTTTTATAATCCCTGGTGGAGGATTCATTATTTTCCACCAGGGATTTTTAAAAAACAAACACATTTCCCTTGGTACAGTGCCATAGTTGCCAACATTTGAATACAATTTCCAAGAACATTTTGCAGCACAGCTATCAATTACTACCTTGAAAGATTACCACACCCACTGCTGCAAAACTCGACCCACTATGTCCAACCCACATAATTAATCTCTATTCCAAAGAACTTTCCCACGCTGTGTAAAATGACACAGAGCACTCTGATTGGTGGATTTCAAGCCGTCCAATCGGAGTATTGTGACAGGTAAATGTAGAGACTTACCTGTCAGTCTCTTCATTTATCTGTCAGAGCACTCTGACTGGATGGCTTAAACCCACCAATCATAGTGCTCAGAGCCTAATTGCAGGGCAATGCCTTATAAGCCTTCCCCCGCCCTGCAGAGCTCAGTCTGCCCGGAGCCCTCCATGGGTGAAAACTGATTTTTTTTTTGGATTTTTCTTTTTTTAAAGTGCGTTGGTTATTATGGATTTTTATTTGGCCTTTTTTGGAGCTGAAAAAGGAAGATTTTAGAAGAAAGAATGGTAAGTTTTTTTGTTTTTTTCTTACAGGTATTTAGATAAGGGTCCCCCCTCATTATTTTTAGGATGAGGGGGGTAGGTAGGGGTTATTTTTTTGGGGGAGGGTTACATTTTTATTTAGGGCCCCGACCCACCCCTCAGGGGTGGGGGACAGGGGGGAGGACAATAGCCCCCCTTATTCTAAATTTAGGGCCCCCACCCACCACTCAGGGGTGGGGGCTGGGGGGGAGGACAGTAGGTCCCCCCCCTCATTGTTATTTAGGGCCCCCACCCGCCGTGCAGATGTGGGGGCCGGGGGAGAGGACAGTAGGTGTCCCCCCTCATTCTTATTTAGGGCCTCCACCCACTGCTCAGGGGTGGGGTTCAGGGGGGAGGACAGTAGACCCTGTTCCCAACCCTGTTCCCTTTGTCAGCCCCTGTCCCCCCTCCTCAGCCCTGTCCCCTTTGTCAGCCCCTGTCCCCCCTCCTCAGCCCTGTCCCCTTTGTCAGCCCCTGTCCCCCCTCCTCAGCCCTGTCCCGGTAGTCAGCCCCTGTCCCCTCCTCAGTCCTGTCCCTGTCAGCCCCTGTCCCCCCCCTCCTCAGCCCTGTCCCATTAGTCCGGCCCCTGTCCCCTTCTCAGCCCTGTCCTTGGTCAGCCCCTATTCCTTCCTCATCCCTGTCCCTTAGTCAGCCCGTCCCCCCCCTCCTCAGCCCCTGTCATCCCCCTCCTCAGCCCCTGTCCCCCCCTCCTTGGGGCCTGTCCCCTCATCCTCAGCCCCTGTACCCCCTCTTCAGCCCACGTCCCCCCTCCTCAGCCCCCTCTCCCCTTAGTCAGCCCCTGTCCCCCTCCTCAGCCCTGTTCCCTTAATTAGCCCCTGTCCCCCCTCCTCAGCCCTGTCTCCTTAGTCAGCCCCTGTCACCCACCCTCAGCCCTGTTCCCTTAATCAGCTCCTGTCCCCCTCCTCAGCCCTGTCTCTTTAGTCAGCCCCTGTCCCCCCCTCCTCAGCCCCTGTTCCTTATTCAGCCCTGTCCCCCTCCTCAGCCCCTTCCCCCCTCCTCAGCCTGTCCCCTTAGTCAGCCCCTGTCCCCCCTCCTCAGCCCTGTCCCCTTGCGCAGCCCCTGTCACCTTCCCTAGCCCTGTCCCCTTCCTCAGCCCCTGTCCCCCTTCCTCAGCCCCTATCCCACCCTCTCAGTCCCTGCCCCCCCTTTCTGTCTGTATGTCTCTGTGTGTGTGTGTGTGTGTGTCAGTATGTCTGTGTGTGTGTGCGCCAGTATGTCTCTGTGTGTGTGTGCGCCAGTTTGTCTGTGTGTGCGCCAGTATGTCTGTAACAGTGTGCCTTTCTGTGTGCCTGTCAGTGAGTGTGTGTTTTTAGTGTGTGCCAATCAGCAAGTGTGTGTGTGCCTGTCATTGAGTGTCTGTTTAGGTGATGCCCCCTCCCACCCACTCCTCCCCACTCCTTTAAATCACATGGGAAAGGTGTTTTTTTTTTTTTACTCTCCTCTTGGTGCAATGGGCCACCTGACTGGATTTGGCCACCAGGCTGTGTATTTGTGGTCTGTGTATTTTGTGGTTTTGTTCGGTTACCGTCTCAGGCTGCAGCGTTTTTTGTTTCTTCTCCGTACTGTGGCGGTTAATTCTCCTGCAGCATGGAGTACACCACCAGTGAAGTCTGCCGGTGCAGGGAGAGCTAGTAATAGCATTAGCCACCAGTGTGGGGAGATTTAACCTGTGCAGGGCTGCAGGGAGACTTACACACGGGTTAAGTCCCCTGCTGCAGGGAGATCCAGGTTTTTTTTTGTTTCTTCTCAGTGCTGTGGGGGTTAATGCTCCTGCAGCACAGAGTCTATTTAATGAACTAAAACAAAAAGATAATGCATTAGCCCTTTTGTTTCGTATATAATTTGTATGTAGGACTGTCGTTTATGTTATAGTAAACAAATACGAAAAAGTCAGAAAATTTGGATGAAATCAAATTCGTCCAATAAGGAATGCACACGTCTAATACAAACCACTAAGTGTGAAATAATAATGAATACAGTTTTTAGGATAATAGGAGCATTAACCCCTTAAGGATGGCGGGCGTTCTATGCCGTCCTTTTTGGGGTGGTTCTAAACGCCGGCGGGCAGCATAGAACGTCCCTGCCGTCCAGGGCACTTACCGGGTCCCCGCCGATCACAAGCTGGCGGTCGTGATCCTGGGGTCTGCCTGAACTATCAGGCAGTCCCCCTCATGCCTGTAAAAGTTTTTTAAAAAGTTAGTAGGTTATTACACAGTTTTTAAATTAAATAAAAATTACTTAGATCATATATATATATATATATATATATATATATATATATATATATTGTAAGTACTTTTATATACACATACATCATTAATAAAAGTGTATTTTAATATATATATATATATATATATATATATATAATTTGTAAAAATTTATATACCAGTTTTAATTTGTTCTAACTGTTTTTTGATATTAATATACATATATTAAATTCAAAATACTTAGAATGACGTTATAAATATATATATATATATATATATATATATCAAAAAAATGTTTATATATATATATATATATATATATATTTATATAATATTTTTACAAAAGTAAGTCATTTTATTAATTACAATCTGAGGGACCTGCCCGACAACCTAGGTAGAAAGTCCAGAGAATTTTGCTCGCAAGCCCTATATTTAGCCCTGTAACTTTCCAAGACACCATAAAACTTGTATATGGGGGGGTACTGTTTTACTCGGGAGACTTCACTGAATACAAGTATTAGTGTTTCGAAACAGAAAAACATATCACAACGATGATATCGTCATTACAAATGCAGTTTTCTGCATTTTTCACACACAAACTGTACTTTCACTGACAATATAATTTTTGTGATACATTTACTATTTTTAAACACTAATATGTGTTTAGTGACGTCTCCTGAGTATAACAGTACCCCCCATGTACAGGTTTTATGGTGTTTTCAAAAGTTACTGTGTCAAATATAAGTCTTGAATTTCCTTTTTTCACATTGAAATTTGCCAGATTGGTTACGTTGCCTTTGAGACCGTATGGTAGCCCAGGAATGAGAATTACCTCCATGATGGCATACCATTTGCAATAGTTGACAACCCAAGGTATTGTAAATGGAGTATGTCCAGTCTTTTTTAGTAGCTACTTGGCCAAAATTAGCGTTCAAATTTAGCTTTTTGCATTTTTCACACACAACAAATATGAATGCTAACTTTGGCTAGTGCTTGTGACTAAGTGGCTACTAAAAAAGACTGGACATACCCCATTTGTAAAACCTTGGGTTGTCTACTATTGCAAATTATATGCCATCATGGGGGTCATTTTTTATTCCTAGGCTACCATACGCTCTTGAAGGCAACATAACCAATCTGGCAAATTTCAATGTGTATAAACTGAAACATGTAATGTGCTATATTTGACCCTGTAACTTTCCAAAACACCATAAAACCTGTACAGTGGGGGCACTGGTTTACTTGTGAGACAACGCTTACTACAAAGATGTGTACTTTATTGCAGTAACAGCTAACAGTATTGTGACATTCACAGTTAAAATGCCATGCAGACCCAAAATGTTTTCTTAATTTGTAAAAAAATTTTATATTTTATTCATATTAAATTATGTTTAATATACAAATATTTGATATGATATGAAAGCTCAGTTTCTCCTAAACAAAATTATATATGATACGTGTGGGTGCACATAGTATGAAAGATGTAAATTACGCCTTAACAGACATATAGCGCAAATTCAAAGTTTTGTTAACGTTTTGATTTGATCACAACTTGTACAACTGCCTCAGTCCTTAAGGGGTTAAACATTAACATTTTTTTGCATGAAATGAATCAAATAATTACATAATCCTTTATTGCAGAATGCACAGGTGGGAATCTCACTGAATGCAACAAAATTGAATATTGGAGTTAACTTTCACTTATTAAGGTAACTACAATTTACATTTACAATTTTGAGTTTGGTAAAAATTAAACATAATATGTGTCTGGGCTGAAACTGCAACATTCTCTAGTTATGTGACACCCGATTTTAACTACTAATTTATATACTGAATTGAGAAAACAAAGGATTATTCAGTGGTCGTTTGTGTAGGAGAATTGAAACTAAATGAATCTTGATAAATGCATGAAGTGATAGTGTTTGAATTTTTCAGCTGATGATTAATATTAGACTAAATGTCATGAAAATACTGATCATGGATCTAGTGAAATTCTCATAAAGAAGGCCTCCTCTAGTTAAAACTTGTTAAGATTGAAGTGAAACGGCTCCTTTTAGTTAGAAGCAGTTTGTCAATGCATACCACTTGCTTTATGTTTATGATGTGATTTTATTCTTTTATTTCTAAATTATTTTTCCTTACACAGTGATTTTCAACTAAACAATAAATCTACACGCAGCAGTTCTGTTAGCTCTAATGTAAGTATTCAGTTAATGAACATGTGACAAAACTGCCCCTTACATGGAAATGTCCTATCTAGATAATCAAAAGCTCTTTTATAAATTTGGAGATCTCTATCCGCCAACCGCGTGCCTCTGCCAATCAATGCTCCTAGTGCTCACAGCACTCCACCAGACATCATCAGCACTGTAGTCCCCACTTGCAGCATTGCAGCTTGGTCGGGGTCTCGCTGTCCTCCAGCCACCCTGGACCCAAAACCATGATCCAGCTTCCAGTGGGTAGACCTCTCCTCCAAGAGAGCGCTCTTAAAAGAGCAAGTGATTATAATCCCAAGGGAGTATAGTGATATAGCAATCCCCAGGGTAGATACAGCCATTTCCCCCACACCTGAGATGAGACTCTATGTTGAGGGTAAGCAGAAACTCCTTTATTGGTAGCCACAACTGGCCTTATATGCAAGTCCCCGTGCAGGGGCACACCCCCTGGACCTAAGAGTAAACCACAGTAGAAACAAATACAAAACCCATGGAAACCCAACAAATGTTACATCCCCAGATAGCTCCGATCTGGGTGACCAATATATCCAAAAATCACCCAGATCGGTACAGGGGTTCAGGATTTCCATTGAGGTCATATTTTGACCGACCGCACACGAGGCTCCTGCCTAAAAGAGTTCCATGAATTCAGGCTGTGCGGTCGGTCTCTTTTAGGAATACCCAATATATTCCAAAATACTGAACGTAACAGTTCGTGGGTAGATTCAGTCTATGCCTCTCGTTCAGTAGCTTCTTCCCACCGAACGCCGCTCTTCTCATAAGAACACCACCGAACATACTTGGAGATGGAAGTCCCAGTGGTGTTCACACCGGCGAGTGTCCGATTATGGTTCCATGCACTCAACGACCAAACACCGCTGTATGTGTTTGCGACTAAAGATGGCCGCCGCCACGTGTTCACATATACGAACGACGGCCACCCAGCTAACCACTTAGAACATTGCGGTTAAGGTGTTGATAGGGGTCAAGAGTCAACAAGCAGCACACGACTGTTCTGGGTGGTTGGTCCGTCCAACAGTTTATTCGGTATACAAACAACATTAGTCTGATCCGTTCGGCCAGCTCCAAATACCAAACCATACAAGTACAAAAGGCACTGTGACAAAAAGTGTGCCATGAGTTTTTGGAGGGGCCTGCTTGCCAGCCTCCTACCCTGGGACTATGGGCCCTGTGATAACCCATGTTCAAAAGTACTGTTTCTGCCCCTTGGACTTTTAACTGGAGCAGATTCAAACATGTGGCAGCAACCATCTTAAATTGTCCAGTAGTGTTTTGTTGTTGAGTGTATGGAACTGTTTTGGGCATGGGACCATGTGCACGGTGGCAAAAATAAGACTTCCTGGAAATTCCTGAACCCCTGAACCAATCTGGGAGATTTTCGGATTTGTTGTTCACTCAGATCAGGGCAATTAGGGGATGTGACGTTTGTGGAGATATGTTGTATTTTGGGGTACTTTTTGCGGTTTGTAAAAATGTATGTTTTTTCTGCTTAGAGTTAATTGAGTTAGTCCATTGTCTTCGTTAATTGTATCACAGGCAGAAGGGAGAGATTGTGTACACTGTATGGGAGTGTCTGAATGTAAACCTCTGTTTTTATTGGCTAGTATGTTTTGTATTTGGTGCCAAACTAGGACCATCCATTGGCGGAGGTACCCAACCGGAGTACAGGAAGCTCCGTTACAGGCATGAACAGTGTCTGTAAGCAAGGTTTATCACAGCGGCCATAGTCCTGGGGCAAGATGCTGGCAATCAAGCCCCTCCATGAACCAGTGGCAAGGTGGTGAGGTTCCTTTCGCCACACTTGGGTCTCCAGTTTAACTAATTTATATAGTGACTCAAAGATATAAAAAAGCTATTCATCTAGAACAGGGGATGGCAATCTTTGGCACTCCAGATGTTGTGAACTCCATGTCCTATAATGCTTTGCCTGCATTATGCCTGTCAGAGCATTATGGGAGATGTGTGTGCGTATGTATATGTGTGTGTGTATGTGTATATATATATACACACACACACACACACACACACACACAGGTGATACTCGAAAAATTAGAATATCGTGCAAAAGTTAATTTATTTCAGTAATGCAACGTAAAAGGGGAAACTAATATATGAGATAGACGCATTACATGCAAAGCAAGATAGTTCAAGCCGTGATTTGTCATAAGTGCGATGATTCTGGCTTACAGCTCATGAAAACCCCAAATCCACAATCTCAGTAAATTAGAATATTGTGAAAAGGTGCAATATGCTAGGCTCACAGTGTCCCACTCTAATCAGCTAAGTAACCCATAACACCTGCAAAGGGTTACTGAGCCTTTAAATGGTCTCTCAGTTTGGTTCAGTAGGAATCACAATCATGGGAAAGACTGCTGACCTGACAGTTGTGCAGAAAACCATCATTGACACGCTCCATAAGGAGGGAAAGCCTTAAAAGGTAATTGCGAAGGAAGTTGGATGTTCCCAAAGTGCTGTATCAAAGCACATTAATAGAAAGTTATGTGGAAGGGAAAAGTGTGGAAGAAAAGGGTGCACAAGCAGCAGGGATGACCGCAGCCTGGAGATGATTGTCAGGAAAAGGTCATTCAAAAGTGTTGGGGACTTTCACAAGGAGTGGACTGAGGCTGGAGTCAGTGCATCAAGAGCCACCACACACAGACAGATCCTGGACATGGGCTTCAGATGTCATATTCCTCTTGTCAAGCCGCTCCTGAACAACAAACAATGTCAAAAGCGTCTTACCTGGGCTAAAGAAAAACAGACCTGGTCTGTTGCTCAGTGGTCCAAAGTCTTCTTTTCTGAGGACAGCAACTTTTCCATCTCGTTTGGAAACAAAGGACCCAGAGTCTGGAGGAAGAATGGAGAGGCACACACTGCAAGATGCTTGAAGTCCAGTGTGAAGTTTCCACAGTCTGTGTTGAGTTGGGGAGCCATGTCATCTGCTGGTGTTGGTCCACTGTGCTTCATTAAGTTCAGGGTCAACACAGTCGTCTACCAGGAGATTTTGGAGCACTTAATGCTCCCTTCCGCAGACGAGCTTTATGGGGATGCTGACTTCATTTTCCACCTGCCCACACTGCCAAAAGCACCAAAGCCTGATTCAATGACCGTGGGATTACTGTGCTTGATTGGCCAGCAAACTCGCCTGACCTGAACCCCATAGAGAATCTATGGGGCATTGCCAAGAGAAAGATGAGACATGAGACCGAACAATGCAGAAGAGCTGAAGGCAGCTATTGAAGCATCCTGGTCTTCCATAACACCTCAGCAGTGCCACAGGCTGATAGCTTCCATGTGCCATGCCGCATTGAGGTAGTAATTGCTGCAAAAGGGGCCCAAACCAAGTACTGAGTCCATATGCATGCTTCTACTTTTCAGAGGTCTGATATTGTTCTATGTACACTCCTTGTTTTATTGATTGCATGTAATATTCTAATTTACTGAGATTGTGGATTTGGGGTTTTCATAAACTGTAAGCCATAATCATCGCACTTATGACAAATCACGGCTTGAACTATCTTGCTCTGCATGTAATGCATCTATTTCATATATTAGTTTCCCCTTTTACGTTGCATTACTGAAATAAATGAACTTTTGCACGATATTCTAATTTTTCGAGTATCACCTGTATGTGTATGTATGTGTGTGTGTATATATATATATGAAATAAGTAGTGTAAAGATAGCACTCCAAGGACTTCAGAAATATGGTGAAAAAACTTACCTTTATTCAGGCATCAGCCTAGGTGGATCAACGTTTCAGTTCACAAATGGAAAGTTCCATTAGTGAACTGAAATGTTGGTCCACCTAGGCTGATACCTGAATAAAGATAGGTTTTTTCACCATATTTCTGAAGTCCTTGGAGTGCTAACTTTACACTACTTATTTTATATTTATTGCTGACCAGCACCAGGCCGATTATCTCTTAACAGTAGTGCAAGCATTGGATTTTATATATATATATATAGATATCTCCAGGAGAAGGAGAGCACTCACGGGTCTTGATGTCAGAGCGTTTAACGCTGTATTTATTAACATAGCATAGCACAATGTTGCAAAACAAACAAAAATCTAGGTTTCATTCCTATTACTTGGACGAGGCCCCAGGGAGAGTGCGCAGCTTAGCGGAAAAGGGCACATGAATGAGTGTGGGAATGGATGAAACGGGATGGGCTGTGGTTATGTTGGGGGAGTGTTGTATGAGAGGAAGTGGGTGGTGACAATTGGGACTGACCTCAGTGCCACTTAGGAGCCGGGCCAGCAACAAGTTTCTCTGCCTCCTCCTGTTGATTTGGGCCTGTTGGATTTTCGGCCTGTGGTTTCTTGGATGTTGAAGCCATCCTGACTGCCCTCAGGGCTGGTGCTGCTGCAGACGGTGGCCGGCAGCTCCGCTAATTCTGATTGGTTTATTAGTTTGCCCTTTTTGCTTTGTTGGAATGTTTTCCTAAGTATTTTTTAGGAAAACAAAGAAAAATAAAGGGCCAATCAATGTCTTCTCACAAAAATGAGAAGGAGGCTCCCTGGATATAATCCAGTATCCTATAGTATAGACTGGTAAAAAAATAATGACAATAAAGGTAGTAGTAACAAAACATAATCAGAACTATTTACAAACTAACTATATACAGAAAACATCCTAGCCTTATAAGGCTTTCCTATACCTTGCATTGCAAGTTTGTTTTTCGGCCGAAATTCTGTAAATTTGTTTTCGCCCATTATGCCGAAAATAAAACTGCACATGTGCAAACAAAAAGCAAGGAGGGAGCCGGCAACGAATAAAATACCAAACGTATGCTTTAGCTGGTATGCAGATAGTGTTCACCTAATCCACCGAATAGTGTTCTTCCAAGATGTAAAGAAGCAAATGCAGGCAAGGATGGAAGTTCAGTGGTGTTTGCGATGTCGAGTGTTCGCTTTTAGTTACATGCACTTGACGACTAAAATCCGCTGCCTGCATTCGTGCACACAAGATGGCCGCCACCATGTGTTTATGCATACGAATGGTGGCCACCCAGTCGACCACAGAACACTGAGGTGTGAATTGTTATTGAGGTGTTAACAGGGGTGAAAGAGGTTAATAAGCATACGGGTGGTCTGGGTATTTTGTGGTTTTGTTCGGTTACTGTCTCATCCCCTTCACAGGCTGCAGGGAGAACCAGCGTTTTTTGTTTCTTCTCTGTGCTGTGGGGGTAATGCTCCTGCAGCACAAAGTCTATTTAATGAACTAAAACAAAAAGGTAATGCATTTGCCCTTTTGTTTCGTATATAATTCCTATGTGTGACTTTCATTTATGTTATAGTAAACGAATACAAAAAGTCAGAAAATTTGCACGAAATAATATTCGTCCAATAACGAATGCACATGTCTAATACAAACCCCTAAGTGTGAAATGATAATGAATACAGTTTTGAGGATAATAGGAGCATTAACCCCTTAAGGACAGCGGGTGTTCTATGCCATCCTTTTTGGGGCGGTCCTAAACGCTAGCGGGCAGCATAGAACGTCCCCGCTGTCCAGGGCACAACCGTGTCCCTGCCGATCCCACGCCAGCGGTCGTGATCCTGGGGTCTGCATGGGAGCTCAGGCCCGCTTCCCCAATCCAGCCCCCCCCCGTCATGTGATCGCGGGGTCCTCGCGATCACATGGCCAGAATAGCCAGCTTATGCAGTGCCTGCAGGGGGCCTGCCTGAAATATCAGGCAGTCCCCCTCATGCCTGTAAAAGTTTTTTTAAAAGTTAGTAGGTTATTAAACAGTTTTTAAATTAAATAAATTAAATAAAAAGTACTTAGATCATATATATATATATATATTCTAAGTACTTTTATATACACATACATCATAAATAAAAGTGTATTTTAATATATATATATATATATGTGTATATATATATATATATATATATTAAAATACACTTAGAATGACGTTAATTATATGTACAGTGTATATATATAAAAAAAAATTAAAAAATTTATATACCAGTTTTAATTTGTTCTAACTGTATTTTGATATTAATATACATAAATTAAATTTAAAATAGTTAGAATGTTATAAATACATATATATATATATATATATATATATATATATAAAAATAATAAAATTATATATAAATTCTACAAATATATTTATATAATATTTTTACAAAATTAAGTCATTTTATTAATTACAATCTGAGGGACCTTCCAACAACCTAGGTAGAAAGTCCAGAGAATTTGGCTCGCAAGCCCTATGTTTAACCCTGTAACTTTCCAAGGCACCATAAAACCTGTATGTGGGGGGTACTGTTTTACTCGGGAGACTTCACTCAATACAAGTATTAGTGTTTCAAAACAGAAAAACATATCACAACGATATCGTCAGTACAAATGCAGTTTTTTGCATTTTTCACACACAAACTGTACTTTCACTGACAATATAATTATTGATACATTTACTATTTTTAAACACTAATATTTGTATTCAGCGAAGTCTCCTGAGTATAACAGTAACCCCCCCTCCCCTGTACAGTTTTTATGGTGTTTTCAAAAGTTACTGAGTCAAATATAAGGCTTGCATTTCTTTTTTTCACATTGAAATTCGCCAGATTGGTTATGTTGCCTTTGAGAGCGTGTGGTACCCAGGAATGAGAATTACCTCCGTGATGGCATACCATTTGCAAAGGTATTGCAAATGGGGTATGTCCAGTCTTTTTTAGTAGCCACTTAGTCACAAACACTGGCCAAAATTAGCGTTCATATTTAGTTTTTTGCATTTTTCACACACAACAAATATGAATGCTAACTTTGGCCAGTGTTTGTGACTAAGTGGCTACTATAAAAGACTGGACATTTGTAAAACCTTGGGTTGTCTACTTTTGCAAATTATATGCCATCATTAGGGTAATTTTTTATTCCTAGGCTACCGTACGCTCTCAAAGGCAACATAACCAGTCTGGAAAATTTCAATGTGTAAAAACTGAAACATGTAATGTGCTATATTTGACCCTGTAACTTTCCAAAACACCATAAAGCCTGTACATTGGGAGTACTGTTTTACTCGGGAGACTTCGCTGAACACAAATATGTGTATTTTATTGCAGTAGCAGCTGACAGTTTTGTGACATTCACAGTTAAAATGCCATGCAGACCTTAAAATGTTTTCTTAATTTCTCAATTTTCTTTATATTTTATGCATATTAAATTATGTTTAATATACAAATATTTGATGTTAAATGAAAGCTCAGTTTCTCTTAAACAAAATGATATATGAAAAGTGGGGGTGCACATAGTATGAAAGATGTAAATTAAGCCTTAACAGACATATAGCCCAAATTCAAGGTTTTGTTTTTATCACAACTTGTACAACTGCCTCAGTCCTTAAGGGGTTAAACATTAACTGTTTTTGCATGAAATAAATCAAATAATTACATAATCCTTTATTGCAGAATGCACAGGTGGGAATCCCACTGAATGTAACAAAATGGTTTGCTGTAATGAACTTTCACTTATTAAGGTAACCACAATTTACATTTACAATTTTGAGTTTGGTAAAAATTAAACATAATATGTGTCTGGACCGAAACTGCCACATTCTCTAGTTATGTGACACCCGATTTTATCAACTAATTTTTATACTGAGAAAACAAAGGGTTATTCAGTGGTCGCTTCTGCTGAGTTCTTCTGATTTCAGCAGGGCTTACAAGGTTTTTAAGCAAATTTATTAGAAATTGGTTCTTTCCTCAGTTCTGAAGCATCTTGTAGATCACTATCATTTAACGGTATCCTAACTCCTTTCAAAGTTTAGTGTAGGAGAGTTGAAACTAAATGAATCTTGATAAATGCATGAATTGATAGTGTTTGAATTTTTCAGCTGATGATTAACATTTGACTAAATGTGATGAAAATACTGATCATGGATCTAGTGAGATTCTCATAAAGAAGGCCTCCTCTAGTTAAAACTTGTTAAGATTGAAGTGAAACGGCTCCTTTTAGTTATAAGCAGTTTGTCAATGCATACCACTTGCTTTATGTTTATGATGTGATTTTATTCTTTTATTTCTAAATTATTTTTCCTTACACAGTGATTTTCAACTAAACAATAAATCTACACGCAGCAGTTCTGTTAGCTCTAATGTAAGTATTTAGTTAATGAACATGTGACAAAACTGGCCCTTACATGGAAATGTCCTATCTAGATAATCAAAAGCTCTTTTATAAATTTGGAGATCTCTATTCGCCAACCGCGTGCCTCTGCCAATCAATGCTCCTAGTGCTCACAGCACTCCACCAGACATCATCAGCACTGTAGTCCCCACTTGCAGCATTGCAGCTTGGTCGGGGTCCCGCTGTCCTCCACCCACCCTGGACCAAAGACCAGGATCCGGCTTCCAGTGGGTAGACCTTTCCTTCAAGAGAGCGCTCTTAAAAGAGCAAGTTATTATAATCCCAAGGGAGTATTGTGATATAGAAATCCCCAGGGTAGATACAGCCATTTCCTCCACACCTGAGATGAGACTCTATGTTGGGGGTAAGCAGAAACTCCTTTATTAGTAGCCACAACTGGCCTTATATGCAAGTCCCCGTGCAGGGGCACACCCCCTGGACCTAAGAGTAAACCACAGTAGAAACAATTACAAAACCCATTAAAACCCCAAAAATGTTATATCCCCTGATTGCCCCGATCTGTGTGACCAACATATCCAAAAATCACCCAGATCGGTTCAGGGGGTCAATATTTCCATGGAAGTCATATGTTGACAAACCGCACATGAGGCTCCTGTCCAAAACAGTTCCATGAATTCAGGCTGTGCGATCGGTCTCTTTCGGGAATACTCAATATAGTCCAAAATAACGAACGTAACAGTTCGTGGGTAGATTCAGTCTATGCCTCTCGTTCAGGAGCTTCTTCACACCGAATGCTGCTCTTCTCATAAGAACGCCACCGAACATACTAGGAGATGGAAGTCCCAGCGGTGTTCACGCCATTGAGTGTCCGATTATAGTTCCATGCACTCGACGAGCAAACACCGCTGTATGTGTTCGCGGCTAAAGATGGCCACCGCCACGTGTTCACATATACGAACGACGGCCACCCAGCTAACCACTTAGAACATTGCAGTTAAGGTGTTGATAAGTGTCAAGAGTCAGCAAGCAGCACACGACTGTTCTGGGTGGTCGGTCCATTCAACAGTTTATTCGGTATACGAAAAACATTAGTCTGATCCGTTCGGCAAGCCCCAAATACCGAACCATACACGTACAAAAGGCACAAACAATGTCAAGGTTTTAACTTAACCACCCTGTACATTTATTTTATTTTTATTTAATATATCCTGTGTACACTGTATATTTACTTGTTTTCTCGTATTTATATCTTGTATTTTATGCTAAAGTGTAATTTTGCTAGCCCTGTATGTAATTTTTTTATTCACCTATATCCATTCCTCTATTTCCCCTCTGATTTGTGACTGACCTCTGACCCCTCCCTTTTCTTATTGATATGTTTGTTTTTATTTGAATACCCATCTCTTCATCTCTATATCTAGATACATTTCCCCCTCCCTTACCTTTATTGCAAGCTCTCTGACCCTCACATCTCTTTATTCAACAGCCTGATTCCCCAACTTTGCAAGCCCATTCCTTCAGTGAGCAAGCCTGATGCCCACCCACCCCACGCTCATTATTACATTTATAGATTGTCTGTCACACCTACATTTTAGTTAGGTTAAAAAAAAAAAAAAACTGCCTCTTATTAGTACACTCCTGCACTTGCTTAACCCATAAAACACCTTCACCTGCTCTTGATATTCCAATTATCTCCAATTTATATTTTTCACAGTTTAGCAATGATCTGTTTTATAGAAACATAGAAACATAGAAACATAGAATGTGACGGCAGATAAGAACCATTCGGCCCATCTAGTCTGCCCAATTTTCTAAAAACTTTCATTAGTCCCTAGCCTTATCTTATAGTTAGGATAGCCTTATGCCTATCCCATGCATGCTTAAACTCCTTTACTGTGTTAACCTCTACCACTTCAGCTGGAAGGCTATTCCATGCATCCACTACCCTCTCAGTAAAGTAATACTTCCTGATATTATTTTTAAACCTTTGTCCCTCTAATTTAAGACTATGTCCTCTTGTTGTGGTAGTTTTTCTTCTTTTAAATATAGTCTCCTCCTTTACTGTGTTGATTCCCTTTATATATTTAAATGTTTCTATCATATCCCCCCTGTCTCGTCTTTCCTCCAAGCTATACATGTTAAGATCCTTTAACCTTTCCTGGTAAGTTTTATCCCGCAATCCATGAACCAGTTTAGTAGCCCTTCTCTGAACCCTCTCTAAGGTATCAATATCCTTCTGAAGATACGGTCTCCAGTACTGTGTACAATACTCCAAGTGAGGTCTCACCAGTGTTCTGTACAATGGCATGAGCACTTCCCTCTTTCTACTGCTAATACCTCTCCCTATACAACCAAGCATTCTGCTAGCATTTCCTGCTGCTCTATTACATTGTCTGCCTACCTTTAAGTCATCAGAAATAATCACCCCTAAATCCCTTTCCTCATATGTTGAGGTTAGAACTCTATCAAATATTCTGTACTCTGCCCTTGGGTTTTTACGTCCAAGATGCATTATCTTGCACTTATCCACATTAAATGTCAGTTGCCACAATTCTGACCATTTTTCTAGTTTACCTAAATCATTTGTCATTTGGCTTATCCCTCCTGGAACATCAACCCTGTTACATATCTTAGTATCATCAGCAAAAAGACATACCTTACCATCAAGACCTTCTGCAATATCACTAATAAAAATATTAAAGAGAATGGGTCCAAGTACAGATCCCTGAGGTACCCCACTGGTGACAAGTCCAAGCTTCGAATATATTCCATTAACTACAACCCTCTGTTGCCTGTCACTCAGCCACTGCCTTACCCATTCAACAATATTTGAATCCAAACTTAAAGATTGCAGTTTATTGATAAGCCTTCTATGTGCAACAGTGTCAAAAGCCTTACTGAAATCTAGGTAAGCAATGTCTACTGCACCACCCTGATCTATAATTTTAGTTACCCAATCAAAAAATCAATAAGATTAGTTTGGCATGATCTCCCTGAAGTAAACCCATGTTGTCTCTGATCTTGAAATCCATGTGTTTTTAGATGTTCAACAATCCTATCCTTTAACATGGTTTCCATCACTTTCCCCACTACTGAAGTAAGGCTTACTGGCCTATAGTTGCCCGACTCCTCCCTATTACCTTTCTTGTAAATGGGCACAACATTCGCTAACTTCCAATCTTCTGGGACTACTCCTGTTAACAATGATTGGTTAAATAAATCTGTTAATGGTTTTGCTAGTACACCACTAAGCTCTTTTAATAGCTTTGGGTGTATTCCATCAGGTCCCATTGACTTATTTGTCTTTACTTTTGACAGTTGAAATAGAACCTCTTCCTCTGTAAACTCACGTGTAATAAATGACTAATTTATCCTTTTTCTCAACTGAGGTCCCTTTCCTTCATTTTCTGTTTTCTCCTCCTCTTTATTTCCTCAGTCTCCCTCAGTATAAAAATCTCTCCTTACACCCACTTCACTCATCCCCCCATCCACATTTACATATGCCCTTCTCTGCTACACTCCCCCCTTCTCTCATCTCATGCCTTACACTCATTTTTCTACTCTCTCACTCCAACCCACAATCGATCTCATCCTAGACCCCAAGCATATAAAACCTATTCACACCTCCTGTCACTTTCTCTCCTCCTACTTCTAGCAGTTGGTGATGTCTCTCCCAATCCAGGGCCCTTCACCTTCTCTACACACACTAAGACAACCAGAAACCCCACAAATCTCATCACAATACCCTGCCCTTTACCCTCACTTACCAAAATTAATTGTGCACTCAGGAATGCCCGCTCCATCTGCCGTAATTTAAAATCAACAACCATACACGACTTTTTAATTTCATCTGCTTGCACTTACAGAGACCTGGCTGTCCCCCTCTCATAGCGCTACTCCTGCCTCTTTATATTTTGGTGGGCTACAATTCTCTCACACTCCCAGACTCAACTGTAAAGGAGGCGGCGTAGGCATCCTTCTCTCCCCTCAATGTACCTTTCAACCAATCATAACTCCCCCTGCCCTATCCTTTTCTTCTTTTGAAGTTCACACTGTCCGCCTATTTAAACCCACTCCTTTAAGAATTGCTATCATCTACCGCACCCCCCTCCCCCAGTTATCCTAGACCAGTGATGGCGGACCTTTTTGAGCCCTAGTGCCCAAACCGTAATACATGCCAATTTTTTTTCCCTCAAAGTGCCAAAACGGCAATTAAACCTGAATACTGAGGTTTAAGTTTAAAAAAAACAACTCATACAGTTGTCCGAACTAATTAACATCTCTGTGTGTGTATTAAGCAGTTGGTGTGTGTGCTCGGCAGTCTGTCTGTATGTGTATTAAGCAGTCTGTCTGTGTGTGTATTTAGCAGTCTGTCTGTGTGTGTATTTAGCAGTCTGTCTGTGTACTTAGCAGTCTGTCTGTATTTAGCAGACTGCTGAATACACACACAGACTGCTGAGTACACAGTCTGCTGAATACACACAGACTGCTAAATACACACACACACACAGACTGCTAAATACACACAGACTGCTGAGTACACACACAAACACAGACTGCTGAGTACACACACACACAGACTGCAAAATACATACACACACACACACACACACATAGACTGCTAAATACACACACACAGACTGCTGAGTACACACACACACACTGCTGAGTACACACACACAGACTGCTAAGTACACACAGACTGCTGAGTACACACACACACACACACACAGACTGCTAAATACACACACACAGACTGCTGAGTACACACACACACAGACTGCTGAGCACACACACACACACATACTGCTGAGTACACACACACACACAAACTGCTGAGTACACACACACACAGAATGCTAAATACTCACACAGACTGCTGAGTACACACACACAGACTGCTGAGTACACACACACACAGACTGCTGATTACACACACACACACAGACTGCTGAGTGTACACACACACAGACAGACTGCTGAGTGTACACACACAGACAGACTGCTGAGTGTACACACACACAGAGACTGCTGAGTGTACACACACTGCATTGAGGGGTACAGTGTATGTGTTTGTGTGTGGGGTGATGTGTTTGTGTGTAGGGTGATGTGTGTGTGTGGGGGGTGATGTGGGGTGGTATGTGTGTATGTGTGTGGGTGGGGTGATGTGTGTGTGTGTGTGGGGGGGGTGATGTGTGTGTGTGTGTGTGGGGTGATGTGTGTGTGTGTGGGGTGATGTGTGTGTATGTGTGTGGGTGTGTGTGGGGTGATGTGGGGTGGTGTGTGTGTTTGTGTGAGGTGATGTGTGTGTGTGTTTGTGTGGGGTGATGTGTGTGTGTGTTTGTGTCGGGTTTGTGTGGGGTGATATGTGTAGGGCAGGGGTGCTGTGTGTATGTCGTCCCCCCACTGTTTTCTTTCCCCCATCCCTCCCTCAGTTTTTTCCCCCCATCCTTCCCTCAGTTTTCTTCCCCCCATCTCTCCCTCAGTTTTCTTTCCCCCACATGTCTCCCCCATCTCTCCCTCAGTTTTCTTCCCCCTTCAATTTTCTTTCTACCCCCTTCAATTTTCTTTCTACCACCCCCTCCCCCCTGTCCATGATCTCCTACCTTGTATCGTGGCCGAGCGCACCGCAGAGCTTAGTTTCCTGTACCCGGCCGGACAGGAAGTGCTCTCTCTGTGAGCACTTCATTTCTGTCCACCCGTGTACAGGAAACATTAGTTCCTGTACCGCGGCGCGCTCGGCCACGCTAGACAGAGTGCCTGGCAGGAGGGAGCTCATCTCCTGGCGGTCACTCCGGTTTTGCGCCCGCTGGGCCGGTGCACCCTAAGGTGGCCACTTGTGCCGCCTTATGGATGTGCCGGCGGAGCGCACCCTCCCTCCCTCCGGCGACCTGTGGCCGCATGCCCACAGAGGGGGCTCGGCGTGCCACCTGTGGCACGCATGCCATATGTCCAGTGATGGCGAACATATGGCATGCGTGCCACAGGTGGCACGCCGAGCCCCCTCTGTGGGCATGCGGCCACAGGTCGCCGGAGGGAGGGAGGGTGCGCTCCGCCGGCACATCCATAAGGCGGCACAAGTGGCCACCTTAGGGTGCACTTTTCTTCCTGGCTTCCCCACTTCCTTTCATCTAGCACTCCTTCCCTTATACTTGGGGATTTCAATATCCCAATCAATAACCCCAATTGCACTGATGCCTCTCGTCTGCTTTCTGTAACCTCCTCCTTTGGCCTTACGCAATAGGCCAATCTAGCAACCCATACAGCAGGAAACACTCTTGATCTTGCCTTCACCAACCTCTGTACTGCCTCTAATCTCTCTAATATTCCCTTTCCTCTATCTGACCACCATCTGCTGACTTTTGACATTGGCATACCCAAGACCCAATTGACACCACCGTCTGAACATCACTCTCACAGAAACCTCCAATGTCTTGACCTAGAGCATTTCTCCACTAATCTCCAAACTCTCCTTTTACCTATCTCAAACCTCACCTGTCCTAGTTCTGCAACCTCCTTCTACAATTCCACCCTCTCCTCTCAACTAGACATCATGGCACCTTGTACATTTAAACGCCGCAGGCCCCCCCAACAACAACCCTGGCACACCAAGCTCACTCAATACCTCCAAAAATGCTCCAGAACTGCTGAACGCTGTTGGAGAAAGTCTCACTGTGCATCTGACTTTCTCCATTATTAATTTATGCTGAGCTCATACAGCTTGGCTCTTTCCTCTGCAAAAGTTAATTACTTCAATACACTCATAACCACACTCTCTCGCGAACCCAAACGACTATTTCACACATTTAACTCTCTTCTTCGCCCTGCTGTTCCTCCTCCACCTACTAACTTGACCGCCTCAGACTTTGCAACTCACTTCACTGACAAGATCTCTACACTCAGAGAAGAGATATCTCATCTTTCTTCTTCCCCTTACAATACTTCCCCTAACTTCACTCCCTCTGCTGTTCTATGCTCATTTGAACCCGCTACATTGGAAGAGGTTTTTGCTCTGCTCTGGTCCTCCCGCCCCACCACCTGCTCCCTAGATCCAATTCCCTCGCATCTCATCCGTACTCTGTCTTCTTCTCTTTCTCCACCTCTCACTAAAATTCTCAATCTCTCTCTCCTCTGGTATATTTCCATTGCCCTTCAAACATGCAACTGTAACCCCAATTCTAAAGAAGCCCAATCTTGACCCTAACTCCTCATCCAACTATCGTCCTATCTCGCTACTGCCTTTTGCATCCAAGATCCTTGAAAAAATTGTGTATGCGAGATTGACAGACTTCCTCGAGTCCAACTCTCTGCTAGACCCGCTTCAGTCTGGTTTCCGCGCTAAGCACTCTGTGGAAACGGCACTGACCAAAGTATCCAATGATCTACTCGCTGCAAAATCTCGTGGTCACTACTCTATCCTAATTTTCCTTGACCTGTCTGCGGCTTTTGACACTGTTGATCATCAACGGCTTCTTCTCATCCTCCGCAATATCGGTCTACAAGATACTGCTCTCTCCTGGTGCTCCTCCTACCTCTCCCAGCACTCTTGCAGTGTTTGTTTCTCTGGCTCTGCTTCTTGTCCCCAACTCCTCTCTGTTGGTGTCCCCCAAGGTTCAGTCCTTGGTCCCCTACTGTTCTCCATCTATACTGCCTCCCTTGGTAAACTCATTAGCTCCTTTGGCTTCCAATATCATTTCTATGCAGATGACACGCAAATCTACCTGTCCTCTCCCCGTCCCTCTTGACTAGTGTCTCTGACAGCCTCTCTGCTGTTTCTAACTGGATGGCTGCCCACTTCCTTAAACTAAATTTGACCAAAACTGAAATTCTGGTCTTTCCTCCCTCAAGTGTTGTTACTCCTGTGTCTGTCTCCCTCCAAGTCAACGGTGCTACCATCAGCTCCACCACGCAGGCTCGCTGCCTAGGTGTTCTTTTTGACTCCGACCTCTCCTTCAAGCCTTATGTTCAATCTATCACCAAATCCTGTCATTTCCATCTCAAAAACATTGCGCGCATCCGCCCCTTCTTAATGCCAGATGCGACTAAGGTGTTGGTCCATTCCACTGTCCTTTCTCTCCTTGACTACTGTAATCCGCTTCTCAGTGGTCTTACGTGCTCCCAACTAGCACCGTTACAGTCCATAATGAATACGGCGGCGAGGCTCATCTTCCTGTCCGCCCGCACCTCCCATGCCTCACCCTTCTCTCAGCCCCTACACTGGCTTCCTATAAAATATAGAGCTCAATTTAAAATTCTGGTTCTTGCTTTCAAATCTCTAGATAATGCTGCTCCCACCTATCTATCCTCCCTTATACACAAGTATGTCCCGTCTAGGCCCTTACGATCTGCTGAAGACTTACATCTATCTTCTGTCCGTACTCCCACCTCTGATGCTCGCCTTCAAGATTTCTTGAGGGCTGCACCGTTCCTGTAGAACTCGCTTCCCTCCTCCGTTAGATGCTCACCCAGTCTCCACTCCTTCAAAAAATCGTTAAAAACCCACTTCTTCATAAAAGCGTATCAATTAAACTGTTAATAGCTCCTGACTGATTCCTCTTCTGCAACTGTCACTAGTCTAATACTATCCTTACCTTTTTGTGTCATTTTACCCCACTCCCTCTTGCATATATATAGTGACTCAAAGATGTAAAAAAGCTATTAATCTAGAACAGATGTTGTGAACTCCATGTCCCATAATGCTTTGTCTGCATTATGCCTGTCAGAGCAATATGGGAGGTGTGTGTGTGTGTATGCGTGTGTATATTTATATATTTATATATAAATAAATATATATAAAGGTTACAGTACCTTGCACTCTGGCTTCAAAATTCCATGGCAGGGTGCATTACCAGGGCTCCACTAATCAAATGGTTAAAATAGTTGGCTGCACTCTCGGACTTCCATAAACAATAACTTTTATTGTAGCATTTAAAACAGGATCAACGTTTCAGTCCTCCTTGGGGACTTTCATCAGGATATATATATCTCTATCTCTCCAGGAAAAGGAGCGCACTCACAGGTCTTGATATCAAAGCGTTTAACGCTGTATTTAGTAACATAGCATAGCACAATGTTGCAAAACAAACAAAAATCTAGGTTTAATTCTTCTTACTTGGACGTGAAAAAGTCTTGAGAGAAGTGATATTTGCAATGCACTATAATATCTTATATAGTATGAGAAGGTGTATATATAAGGGCTCTCTCTGCAATGATATTTTGGGGTACTGTTACAGCAGACATAGGTCCTTGAGACCTGCCTTTCATTTTTAAATTTTTTTGGCTGATTTTAAAATGCAGAAGGGTACTGGACACTAGTACCATGCATAGAACAATTCAGCAACACTCTGTGCATGGTCTGCTTGAGGCGTCAAGCTGTCTGTTACCCTGGCCACCCTCTTTTAGGGGGGGACTGCCCCTTTGACAAGCAGGTCCATCGTCCCCTTTAAGGGTAGGTCAACCCAGTTGGGCAGGCCAGCTCAGTGAAAATTACTACTAAGACTTAATTGCTGATTATCAGTTAATAAATAGCTGTGAGATTAATGTTTTATATATTTGTGTCCTATGTGCTTGTTATTAGATGCCCTAATTTTCTATAGAGCTTCTCTTCACCAAGCTCTATTAGCTTAAACTGCCAATCTACTGGAATAAGGAAAGGCTTTTGGGGACACAAATTACATTTTTCAAGTGATCTCTGCTTAGCTTCACTTACATCAAAAACATTACAATGAATTAAAAAATCAAAGCTGAAAATGCTCAAAACAAGTGCAAACAAGCTCAGATTTCAAATATTCACAGTTTTCATGCTTATACATGTAACCCAGGACACTCTATATGTAGATATATGAAAAAAAGGCTTATTGGGCCCCTTGAATACACACATGCCCGAGTAAGGGAGGTGAAAAATGTCCCTCCCTGGGACTCTCCTCCTCCGGATCCTTGAAAACTGGAACTCTGGAACAAGGCGCTGTGAAGTGAATAGCTCTATTCCCCCCAGTAACTGGATGACACACAGTTCTGGGAGTACGACTAGTTTATACAGCTCAAACTCAGCCTTTTATGCACTGACCCCCAGCATGGGGTCTCCATTCAAAATCACACAGACTCCTCCCAGGCGTTCCTGTGTCTGGGAGATAATGGAGTCAAAATGTGGTAACTCGATTATCTCTCAGTTACAGGAAACCTGAAGCACCAAAGAAAACAGTCATATTTCACAGGAACTCCACAAGTCTTATAGCCCTGAATTGAGCACCCAAGTTGTCCAAATAGCACTCAGATCCATTCAGTAGAACAGAATCACCATTTGGGTAAAGTTCTGACCACTTTTGGGGGCTCCTGTGCGAACACCAATGAATGCACCCACTGGCTTTCATGGAGTGAATGCTCCCCCCAGTTGGTAGTTTCTATCTCCTTAAAGTCGTTCACCTAGCTGGTCGGGAAGTGTGACGGGCAGCGGTACAAACTTTGCCCAGGTTCACGGACTCACGTGGCCGAAAAGGTTCCAGGCGCTCGACAAAGTACCGATGCCTGTGTTCAGGAGACAAAAGGGCCGCCAATCACTGGAATACGTGCGTTTGTTTATACATATGTCGGCCACCCAGTGAAAGCACTTGAGCTAATTACTTGATTGCAATTAACAGCCAAGGGTGGTCGGTGTTCGGGGAGGTATAAAGGGATCATAAATCGTCAATTTGGGGAACTAACAAGGGGGGTACGGACAACTGAACAGAAAGGGAATGCATCTGATACACACAGCAGGTGGGGGAGGAGGGATAGAAAGCTTTCAGCTGGTCCTCTCATTCTTGCAAGCTCTGGGGTTCCTAGCTGTGCCGCTGGACTCGCAAGAAGATTGTTAACCCATCATTGCACACACTCAGAAACACACAATGCATCCCTTAGACACACAGAAGCACACAATGCAATACTTACACACAGAAACAGAGTGCATCCCTAACACACACGCAATGCATCTCTTACACACAGAAACTCACAATTCATCCCTTACACACACAAACCATCCCTTACACACTCAAAGCATCCCTTACACCAAGCATGTCAAACTTGCGGTCCACAATGAATATATTTTTGGGCCGCAAGTTTGCGATGATTACTAAGGCAGAGTAGGCATCTGAACTCCTTACATTGCAGGTGCCTAGTCTGCTCAAATTTACCCGGTACCGGCTGGGGAGGAGAGGTCCTTGGTGGCGGCAACAGAGCTCAGCCTTCCTGCTCCTCACTGCTCCCTCGTGCGCGCCCTCTATAGTGATGCCGGGTGACGGATTATGACGTCATATCCGGCACCCGGCATCACAAAACTGCTCGTGTGAGGAAGCAGTGAGTATCAGTAAGACTGAGCTCTGAGAGAAGAGGCCCCACACCAGCTCTCAAATGTAGGGAGCAATAAATCAGATTATGTTGGTGTATGCAAGAATGTGGAAAAGTGTGTGTCTGTCAGAGTGAGTGTGTGTGTGTCTGCCAGAGTGTGTGTGTGTCCATCAAAGTGTGTGTGTGAATCCATCAGAGAGTGTGTGTGTGTGTGTGTGTCCGTCAGAGTGTGTGTGTGTGTGTGTGTCTGTCTGTCAGAGTGTGTGTGTTGGTCAGTGTTGCAATGGCTGCGGCTGGACACTGGAGGACCAGGGGGTCACATTCCGACGTGACATCAAGGTTCTCCACCTTCACAGGTTTATAAGGATTAGCGGAAGGATCCGCTTTGGCATAAGGTGTGGACGGTGCCATTGGGGGTATATACCAGAGTCTGGACTCCAGAGTCGCATACGGGCAGGGACTGGGAATTAGTACAGAGGGTTTAGTAGAGGGGGATGCTGATTTTTTTAGGTATATATATATACTGTTCTTTTTCAAAACAAATCTAGATTCCTATGAAAATTTAAGGGGGGTTTGATTTTTTTGCGGCCCACATGAACTGAAATCTTCTTTATGTGGCTCGTGCTAGCCTTTTAGTTTGACATGCTTGCCTTTCACACACATACAATGAATACCTTACACACTGACAGAGAAACACACAATGCACCCCTTACACATACACACGAGCACACAATACATCCCTTACACACGCTGAAACACACATTGCATCCCTTGCGCACACAGACACAAAAACACAGGATTCATCCCTTACACACAAACACACAATACATCCCTTACACACACACATGCGCACACAGAGAAACACACAATGCATCCCTTACACATACACACGAGCACACAATACATCCCTTACACACGCTGAAACACACATTGCATCCCTTGCGCACACAGACACAAAAACACAGGATTCATCCCTTACACACAAACACACAATACATCCCTTACACACACACATGCGCACACAGAGAAACACACAATGCATCCCTTACACATACACACGAGCACACAATACATCCCTTACACACGCTGAAACACACATTGCATCCCTTGCGCACACAGACACAAAAACACAGGATTCATCCCTAACACACAAACACACAATACATCCCTTACACACAAACACACAATACATCCCTTACACACACACACATGCACACACAGAGAAACACACAATGCATCCCTTATACGCTACACACAGAGAAACACCGAATATTGTTCCACATGTTGCTTACTTTTTGAAAGATATATATATATATACATATATACATATTGTAAAGAAAAGTGCATTTTAATTAATATTAATGTTATCTTCTTTTTTTGCATGTTTCCAGGAACTTGTTCAATCCTTAGTTAACACAAATCTGCCAAACCTTGTGAAGAATATGCCATCTCGTAAGTATATCTGTGTTTCCTATACAAATCACTAGACACTAAAATAAAGTTAATAAAAATGTTTTACACAGTAATAATAATAAAAAAAAACATATCTCTATCTACTTTCAGGGGGCAGCAAAAGAAATCCACGCCCCAATTGCCCTGGCAAATGCCATGCCAGCATCTTGATAGGGCCCCCCGAGGCTGGCACCGGCTGCACTGATCCTCCTGTTCAGATGCCTGATATGCTCCGCAGTGATGCCGGAGCCAGAATATGATGTCACTCCAGCCCCAGCATCACTATGCGGCGCACGAGGGAGCTGAACGGGAGGATCAGTGCTCCCTCGCAGACTGCAGTGACGGGCCGCCCAGCAGCCCCACTGGACCCCAGGGAAAGCGAGAATCCACCCCAGCACTCCCAAAGGTAGGGAGGCTGGGGGGATTGAATTTAAAAATAAAATGAAAAAAAATGTGTGTCTGTTAGTATCTGTGTCTGTCAGTGAGTATGTCTTTGTGTCTGTCAGGGAATGTGTGTCTGACACTGAGTGTATATGTGTCTATCAGTGAGTGTGTATGTGTATTTAGAAGGAGGAGGAGAGAGGGACAGTGCCTGAGTTTTGTCATGCCTAGGGCAGCACAAAACCAGGATACACCACTGCCCATATTAAGGCAATCCCACGAAAGGATACCAAAGTAGGCAAAATTTAAGACCAAAATAGCCCAACTGGAAAAATTCTCTAAGTCATCTTTATTGCCAGTTTGGCTACTTTAGCATTACATTTTAAATTCACTTTGAATTCCTGACAATTCTCCCTTTGCTGAATAACCCTGATTGTCTCAGTAAGACAGTTAGCCTTCGTATGATTTATTTCTTTAAAAAAAGTCTTCTTTGACTTTCAAAACAAATTCAATGCAACAAAGAAAGGATAGCACTATAGCAATTGTTCTTCAATTGAACAACTTGTATTAGTGAAACTCATTTCATTTTTAACAACTTCCTTGAACTAATTTCAAAGCTTTCACTGTAATAGAAAATCATGTGAACTTTTACTCCGAGCACTAATCCATTTAATGAATTTTATTCCAGTTCAATTTTGGGATTTTATAGGGCTTCAATTTAGTCATTTGCTAGAAGATCCAGAATTGCTATTTTTTATATATGATGTAAGTATATCTATCCTTCCTCAGCAATATATACATTTGTTATTACATCTATTTGTTCAATGAATTGTTTAAATGGACAGCACAATGTATTAATGGGTTTAAATGGACACTCTAAGCACCAAAGCTGCATTATCTGAATAAAGTGGTTTTGGTGTACAGACCCTGTCCCTGTTGTCCCACAATGTAAAACATTGCAGTTTCTGAGACATTTTGTCTAAACCACACCTCTAGCGGCTGTCTGACTGACAGCAACTGGAGCCATTTCCTTATTGAAGACTTTCTATTTTAAAAACGTTGCATGTTTGGCAACATCTGAACACAAAAATATCAAAAGAAAGGTAAAGTGCTGGGATTTTTTACACTTACCTGGAGCCTCCTGGCGCCCACTGTCCTTACAGCCCTCTGTATCTCCACTAAAGCAGAAGTTCCCATTCAGGGCTGGATTTATCCTCCTTGCTGCCCCAAGGCCAGTTTTCTCAGTACAATATGTATCTAGATTGCATAGTGTGTGGGGGAGTTGAGGCTCGTGTGTGTTTGTGTGGGCACATGGGCGTCCGCAGGGGGATAAGTGGGGGCACTTGCCCCACCCCCTCACCCACACCTGGATTTTTCAGCTTGTTCTGCTATTTTTCGTGTGAGATCGAAAATACAGTGCAATACCGGCTGTGTATGTAGAGAAATAGGGATAGGAAGCTATGGCTTATCCCTGCTTCTCTCTGACTGAATCCGCAGAGGAGCAGCACATGCAGCCAGAGACAGCCTACAGATCAGGTAAGTGAGTGATGGAGGGCAACCTTCAGATTAGGGAAGTGAGGCACGGGGGGCAGCCTATAGATCAGGGAAGTGAGGGAGGGGGATTGAGAGCCTATAGATCAGGGAAGTGAGGGAGGGGGATGGGGGAGAGACTGCAGATTAGGGAAGTGAGGGAGGGGGAGAGAGAGCCTATAGATCAGGGAAGTGAGGGAGGGGGGTGAGACTGCAGATCAGGGAAGTGAGGGGGGTAGAGCCTAAAAGGAGCAGAAAGGGTCAGCAAGGAGTTGGAAAGGGCAGGAAGGGACAGAAGGAGCACAAAGATAAAGTAGGAGAAGGAACAAAAATGAGCAAGAATGGACATCAAGGAGCAGAAAGGATCAGCAATGAGCTGGAAGGGGCAGAAGGAGCACAAACATAAGGTAGGAGAAGGGTCAGCAAGGAGCAGGAAGGGTCAGCAAGGGGCGACAAGGAGAAGGAAGGGTCTACAAAGGGCAGAAAGGGACAGAAGGAGGGGGAGAGAGTGCCTATAGATCGGGGAAGTGAGGGAGGGGGATGGGAGAGAGACTGCAGATCAGGGAAGTGAGGGGGGAGCCTATAGATCAAGGAAGTGAGGAAGGGGGATGGGGAGAGACTGCAGATCAGGGAAGTGAGGGGGGAGCCTATAGATCAGGGAAGTGAGGAAGGGGATAGGGGAGAGACTGCAGATCAGGGAAGTGAGGGAGGATGAGAGAGAGCCTATAGATCAGGGAAGTGAGGGAGGGGCATGGGGAGAGAGACTGCAGATCAGGGAGGTGAGGGGGGGGAGACTGCCTATAGATCAGGTAAGTGAGGGAGGGGGGGTTGGGGAGAGACTGCTGATCAGGGAAGTGAAGGGGTAGAGCCTATAGATCAGAGAAGTGAGGGAGGGGTTGGGGGAGAGACTGCCGATCAGGGAAGTGAAGGGGGTAGAGCCTATAGATCAGAGAAGTGAGGGAGGGGGTGGGGGAGAGACTGCAGATCAGGGAAGTGTGGGAGGGGGAGAAAGAGCCTATAGATCAGGGAAGTGAGGGAGGGTGGTGGTGGGAGAGACTGCAGATCAGGGAGGTGAGGGAGGGGAGAGACTGCCTATATATTAGGTAAGTGAGGGATGAGTGAAACAGCCTACATGAAGGGTCAGCAAGGAGCAGAAAGGAGCTGGAAGGGACAGCAATGAGCACAGAAGGTAAAGTAGGAGAAGGATCACAAAGGAATAGAAAGGAGCAGGAAGGGTCAGCAGGGAGCAGGAAAGGTCAGCAGGGAGCAGGAAGGGTCAGCAAGGAGCTGGAAGGGTCAGCAAGGAGCTGGAAGTTAAATCAGCACAAAGGTAAAGTGGAAGGAGCAGAAAGGGTCAGCAAGGAGTTGGAAAGGGCAGGAAGGGACAGAAGGAGCACAAAGGTAAAGTAGGAGAAGGAACAAAAATGAGCAGGAATGGACATCAAGGAGCAGAAAGGATCAGCAATGAGCTGGAAGGGGCAGAAGGAGCACAAACATAAGGTAGGAGAAGGGTCAGCAAGGAGCAGGAAGGGTCAGCAAGGGGCGGCAAGGAGAAGGAAGGGTCTACAAAGATCAGAAAGGGACAGAAGGAGCAGAAAGAATCAGAAGGAGCACTAAGGTAGAGTAGGAGAAGGAGCACAAAGATTTTGCAAGGAGCAGAAAGGGATCAGAAAGAGAAAGGAGCAGAAGGGCGCAAAATAAGCAGAAAGTAGCAGAAAGGTAAAAGAGCAGGAGGAGCCAAGGAGGAGAGAAGACAGTGTCAGATGATGGAGAAGAAAAGGAGATTGGAGCAGGAAGGACAAGTGAAGTGAACCCTCCACTTTATTTTGGTCACCACATCATAAGGCTTTGGTACATGGGCCTGGCAGGCAGGGCCAGACTGGCCCACAGGGATACCGGGAAATTTCCCGGTGGGCTGCGGCACCTGGGGGGCTGCATGTAGAGAGGGAGCCCTGCTCCCTATATTTTAATAACATAGGGAGTAAACAAAAAAAAGAAGAAATTCCATTCTACTTGTGTGTAATTTGCTGAAGAAAATTGTAAACTTAAAAAGTAACTTTTAATAAATTAATCTAAAATAAATATGTAAAAGAAAAAAATATTAAGAACAGGAGTACATGGAGACCATACAGCAAGTAAAACTCAGTGTCTACTAATATGAACTGTAAAGGTGTTACAAGTTATACAAGTGACAATTTTTATGTATCACTAATAACTGTAACAAAAGGGGGGAGAGAATCAAAGACTGCCAAACCAGTGCTGTCAGCAGTGTTCAGCTGAAATACGCTGCTGACAGACGGCGATTAGCTAGTTAAATATCACGAAAGCTGCCTAGAGAGTAGCAGCATGTGGATCATAAATTGAAGATTATGCTAGCTTTAGTGTACTAATAATCTTAATTTTAATAAGGACAGGAGGCGAGTATTTTGCATTAACTCTCTTTACTAAACTCCACAGCAGTAAAGAAAAACGTAAAGAGTAACATTAAATCACTGAGCAGCATAGTATATATAAGGGTCATGCTGCCTGTACACTTCCTCTTTCTTGAAGCGACATCCAAGTCCAGACTGAGCTCGAAACGACCAGAAAAGCCAATGAAACTGCAAACAACGGTCTCTGGTGAGCAGAACTTGATGCGACTCCTGGCAAACGAGATTGGAGGCAAGACGAAACAAAGTCTTTATCCCATCAAGCGGAGTTGTGAGGGTAACCGAACCAACATCCAGTGTAGGTCCTGAAGAGGATTACACTGAAAGGAGAGTATAAAATAGGTTAGGTACTGAACCGTAACTGTTCACGTAGGTGAGCCTTATCAGAGTGTGTTAACATAAATGATTAGATACATAATTAGTGTGCGTAATGTAAAAGTTAAATAAATGTTTATATGCAAGCGTGATACAGCGTTGTATGTGATACAACGTAAACCTGGCTGCATAAGACAGTGTTTCTGGAATGAGAGTCGGGATAGAAACAGCATACACCCCAAAGAAAAGGAGAAACCACTAACTAGTCATAACGAAACATCCGTCACCTCGAGACCCACTCCCCCGAGGAGTCAGGGCAGGGAACAGAAGGGAGGGAAAATACTCGCCTCCTGTCCTTATTAAAATTAAGATTATTAGTACACTAAAGCTAGCATAATCTTCAATTTTATAACATGACAGGAGGCTTCCTATTTTGCAATTTTAACGCTGAAGTAGAGATGTCCCAGCAGAAGCGGGAGTGCGGAAATAAAAGGTACGGAAAGTAGATTCCCTAGACCACTACGCCGCTCTGAGAACGTCTGACAGGGACGCCCCCGCTAGGAAGGCTGAGAAAGCCGCCGCTCCGCAAATGGGGTGGGCGCCGAAAGCGGGGTCTATACCGGCGAGAGAAAGGATCCAGCGTGGTGGCCAAGACTGGAGCATGGGGGCGAACATAGGAGACTAAGAGTTGACCCGACGCCGAGTTACGGAGTGAGGAGGTAACCGAAACGTATCTGCGAAGGGTGGACACGACACAGAGCTGCGGGTCGTCGGGGAAAAAGGGGTAAAAGAACGAAGTCAAACCCAACTTAGTGTGACGGGAAATGTGGAATGTGACCCCCTCAGGGGCAACCTCGAAGGCGTCGACGTCGAAGGTTCGAACGTCCGATACCCGTCGAAAGGACACGAGACAAAGTAGAAAGGCGCACTTAGCTGATAATTGGCGTAGGGAGAGACGGTCGTAAGGAAGCCAATCCCTGAAAAAACGGAGAACCAGTCCAACATCCCATAGGTGAGGGTACCTGGGGGCCGGAGGGCGGCGGAGCCGCATACCACGGAGCAGGCGGCAGACGAGAGGGTCTTTGCCGACCGAAAGGTCCCCGACAGGGGTGTGGGCCGCCGAAATCGCGGAGCAAATGACGTTAACTGAACGGTAGGAGCGGCCCGACGAAAACAAGGATGAAAGAAAATTGAGAATCATGGGAATAGGTGCTGTAAATGGATCGGAGTCCCGTTCCATGCACCAAGTAGACCAGGAGGCCCAAGCTGAAAGGTAACAGCATCTAGTTCCGGGGGCCCAGGAAGGCACTCCAAGGTAGTAGGACTGGGGGACCTGAGGGAAGCCCAAGGGGGGAGCCCAGGGAGTCCCAGGGCCGGTAGAGGGGCAAAGAAAGAGAGGAAAGAACCATAAAGGGCTAACCTAGTCCCACTGCCCAGAGTAATAAGGTAGAATGATAAAAATACAAGGAAAAATTACAAGAATACAAATATATATAATGGAGAAATTAAACTAAACAGACTAATAATAATAAATGAATAAACCTCTGGAGGAGCCAAATAGTCTGATCTGTCTGCGTTGGAGCAGTAAAGATAGAGGAAGTGTACAGGCAGCATGACCCTTATATATACTATGCTGCTCAGTGATTTAATGTTACTCTTTACGTTTTTCTTTACTGCTGTGGAGTTTAGTAAAGAGAGTTAATGCAAAATAGGAAGCCTCCTGTCATGTTATAAAATTAGAGGTTACTGTCAAGCAGTAAAGTATGAGATAAGGGGTTGCCGAGCTGACTCCATTTAGCAGAAAAATATCTAAAGCAGTATATTATAGTATAGCAACAGCAGAACAATGAGTAGTTTAGCTATGAAGGACACAGGCAGCAGTTAACAAACGTTGCCTAAATGATAACTGCATTAAAATGATAAGTCCAAGTCTAAAGAAAACAAAAGATTTTTAGACAGTTTTCAAACAAGCTGCCTGAGTGATAGAAAAAATAATAATATAGTCAGTGACAGAGGAAGGCATATAGAATAGGATTCGTGAATTTTGTGCCTTCAAAGGCACCCCTTAATCAAACGCCTGGTCTTATAAATTTCCCTCCATAAAATGTAATAAAGGGAAAGAAAGAGAAATAAAGTATATACACAGATTGCAGTAAATAGTGTTAAGAGTCTCCAATATCCACTCCTGAGATACTGGACTTAAATGCACTTAATGTCGGTAGTATCGCAGTTGATAAGCGGAGAGTTAGATGTCGACACCAATGATGTGTCAGTATGTGTCCAGAACACCTGACGCGCGCGTTTCGTCAGTGAGGTTCACCGACATTAAGTGCATTTAACACAAAAATAGAGGATAGGGGGTAGGCGCTTCACAGAATGGAAGTATGATGAATATAATACAGTGGTTGATAAAGCAGTGTTTCCCAGACACTAAATAAGAGCAAATATAGAAAAAAATGTATATCAAAACCACATAATGAATTGGCACCCTTGAGCCTGCTATACAGAGCCTGGTACAGCTCTGTTAAATGTGAGTGGTTGTCCATCTTTTATTTAATATACATTTGTATTATACAGTATACACTATGTTATGTTATGCATTTATATTTTGTAGATAATATTCTGCAATCCTTCAACGTTCAGGTTGTAATTTATGGTTGTTTTCTACCACTTCACTTGTTTTTGGGACAATCCCTTTTTATGTGGTTTTGATACACATTTTTTTCTATATTAAGTGCATTTAAGTCCAGTATCTCAGGAGTGTATATTGGAGACTCCTAACACTATTTAACTGCACTCTGTGTATATACGTTATTTCTCTTACATTCTCTTTATTACATTTTATGGGGGGAAATTTATAAGACCAGGCATTTTTTTGTTTTTTTTTTCTTTAGACTTGGACTTATCATTTTAATGCAGTTATCATTTAGGCGATGTTTGTTACTATTAATGGGTTAACTGTTGCCTGTGTCCTTCATAGCTAAACTACTAATTTTTGTTCCGCTGTTGCTATGCTATTAAATACTGCTTTAGATATTTTTCTGCTAAACGGAGTCAGCTCGGCAACCTCTTATCTCATACTTTAGTGCTTGACAGTAACCTCTAATTTATGATGCACATGCTGCTACTCTCTAGGCTGCTTTCATGATATTTAACTAGCTCAGGGGTAGGCAACCTACGGCACTCAAGGTGTCTTTGCACGGCACTCAAGGCTGCTACAGCCAAACAGGCTCTAGCCGATCAGGAGTCCCAGTGAAACTTCAGATATCTGCTAATATGAAAAGGTGGTGAAGGACAATCTTCAATTTATGCATTGCAAATCACTTCCTCCCAGCACTTGTGAATGGGAATCCACACTGTAGTAGAGCAGCCTGCAGATGCTGTTGCTGCTCCTGTCCTTGACCTGTACCTGGCCAGCCTGGTCCCCACTGGAACCCAGGGAAGCCACCCACACTGCTAGATATACACAGAAATGCACAATAACCCTCCCCTCATACAAATAATACGAACAGCCCACAAACATACATACAATCCGCACAAACGTAACCCGCTAACAATCCACATACATGCACACAACCACACATGCAGCTTCTCACATGCAATACCTCAAATAGCCCCCACACACTACCAAACACACAATGTGACATATCCATCCACACACACAATTCCACAAGCAGCCCTCATACACAGCCCACATTCATATGTATCATACACGATACCACAAACTACTAATGAACATATACAATATAATAGCTCATATACGCACAAATACAATGATACAAAGCAAATACAGTATAAATAACACAAGCAGAATACGGCAGCATACACACCTCAATTTAAAAAAAATAGGACCGGCACGCTACGGGACATCACAATCCTATATCGGCACAGTGCTGCTAAAAGGTTGCTTACCCCTGCACTAGCTAATCGCCGTCTGTCAGCAGCGTATTTCTGCTGAACACTGCTGACAGCACTGGTTTGGCAGTCTTTGATTCTCTCCCCCCTTTTGTTACAGTTATTAGTGATACATAAAAAGTATCACTTGTATAACTTGTAACACCTTTACAGTTCATATTAGTAGACACTGAGTTTTACTTGCTGTATGGTCTCCACGTACTCCTGTTGTTCTTAATATTTTTTTCTTTTCCATATTTATTTTAGATTTATTTATTAAAAGTTACTTTTTAAGTTTACAATTTTCTTCAGCAAATTACACACAGGTAGAATAGCATTTTTTCTTCTTTTTTTTGTTCATTCCCTATGATATTCACTATTTAGGGGTTACCCCCCGTTTTTTTGTGCATTGTACCTTGTGTTATTCAAAATTAGGCTCTAGGTTGACTCTTTTTGTTTTTTTTTCATAATACTATATTTTAATAATATCGCGGCCACTGCGATATCCGGCGGCACACTCTGAGGTGATTACTCACCTTGCGGCTGACGGCCCCATCTCCTATGCTGTACTGCTGTCAGTATCAGTGAGTGTGCTGGGCGGCCTCCTAAGCGATCCGGCGGCACACTCACTGATACTGACAGCAGCATAGCTGTCAGCACAGGAGGACTGAGAGGGGGCGGAGCTAACTATCATGCTCCCTCGCGGTTCTCATAATTCCCAGCACAGCCACATCATAGAGTAATCCCTACTCTATGATGTGGCTGTGCTGGGAATTATGGGAACCGCTAGGGAGCATGGTAGTTAGCTCTGCCCCCTCCCTCAGTCCTCCTGTGACAAGGGGCAGACAGCAGGGACACAAAAAAAGAGGGGATGGGGGGACAAATAGAGAGGTAGTAGAACCACAGGGGACGGACAAAGAGACAGAGGGGTAATAGAGAGACACCAGGTTTGTGGGGGGGGGACAAACAGACAGAGGGGTAATAGAGAGACAGAGGGCAAGGGGGGACACATAGACAGAGGGGTAATAGAGAGACAGGGGATGGGGGACAAATAGATGGGTAATAGAGAGACATAGGGGTTGGGGGGACAAATAGAGGGGTAATAGAGAGACACAGGAGAAGGGGACACACAGATACAGATGGGGTAATAGAGAGACACAGGGGATGGGGGTACAAAGAAACAGAGGGGTAAGAGAGAGACACAGGGAGGAGATGGGGAAGAGAGACACAGGGAGGAGATTGGGAAGAGAGACACAGGGAGGAGAGGGGGAAGAGAGACACACAGAAGGTTTGTTGAGGGGACAAAGAGACATACAGTAGGGAAGGGGAACAAAGTGACACAAGATTTTTGGGAGGCAACGCTGAGCTGGGGAAAAAGAGAAAGAGAGTGGCTGGGAGAAGAGAAAGAGGCACACAGAGTCTGGAGTTAGAAAGAGACACAGATGAGATTTGGAAGGGGAGAAAGAGACAAAGTGGCTGGGGCTAAGAACAACACAAAAGGGGCTGGGGGAAAGAGAAATACAGAGGCTGGAGAAGGGTAAAAAGAAACACACAGGGACTGGGATGAAGTAAAAGATGCACAAGGGTCGCTGTAAGAGAAAAAAAGGAGACAATTGGAGACAAGATACACTAAACGAGGTAAAGGTAATAGACGTAAATTGATGTGATCCTGACAGTAATACACACATATATATATGCATGTATATTGATGTGTGTATTAGTAACGTATAATTATGCCTATAATATTTACACATATAGTAATATACATTTATATATGCATAATACACACATAAATGTCATTAATAAATATATATTTATATATATGTAATGAGCACATATTGGCCCTGTCTTGTTGCTAGTTGCATACTCATGCACAATAACATATTCAAAGTGAAGAGCGCACCCATAGAACTTCAAAATAAACAAGTTCACTTCATTTTTTTAGTTGTGCAACTGCAGACATTCAGCATTTCAGTACCATTAATAAAATGTCCTTAATAGGCCAAAGTAGTTGTACTGAAACATTGATTACATGCAAATGTACGTCTACTTAAAATAAAGGTGCTCTTTTGTTTATTTTGAAGCCCTATATGCGTTCTTTCGTTGGAGTAAGAGTTTTCAATTTCAAGTTATTTTTCCACCCTCTATATCAGCACACTATGCTGCACACATGCCTGACGTCAATCTGCACTTCCTGACACTCCGTTTCAGAAGCCGAACAACACTGAGCGACCTGGAGCTGGAGGAAGCCTTTGGGGTTAAACCATTTGAGAGTGGTTTAACCTCTTAAGGGAAAGAGAGCACCCAGGGGCATCCTGGCATCATTGCATTTTCATTTAGATGAAATTGTTATGGTGATCAGAATGTTCCTTTAATTTGCTTAAAGGAACACTAAAGTGTCAGCAATACACACATGTATTCCTGACACCATAGTTGTGAAAACGCTTTTCACGCTGGCTTTATGTGATAATGACTATGCCCCTTCCTTTTCATGACACTGTCAAAAAGGGACCAAGCCATTACAATTATGCCCCCCCTGGAAAAATTCCTGCGGACGCCCATGTGTGGGGGGATCAGTTCTCTAGTGTATGTGTGCAAGGAATAGGGGCTGTATTGTGCATTTTAGGGTTATAGGGATCTGCTGGGTGTGTGTGTTGGGGCTTTGGTAGTGGAAAAGGGAGTTAGGAGTTGCAGTGGGTGTTGTTTTCTGTGGTTCTTGCAGAATAATCAATGCTGACACTTACTTCATATGAACAGCTTTACTTCCATAAGTCACAAAACATAACCTGCAGAATCACTGCTAAACTCACATCATGGAGTGCTCTCCTAAGCCCTCCTATGCAGGGAATCCCCCTTAAATCAACGCAGTCCTTTAATATACACATATCACTACACCTTCCTCTCTTAAGAAAACTACATGCTAAGGAGAAAATATGCTATAACTAGAGTTGAGCGGACACCTGGATGTTCGGGTTCGCCAAGTTTGGCCGAACTTCGTCATAAAGTTCAAGTTCGACTCGAACTTGACCCCTGAAATCCATTGAAGTCAATGGGGACCCGAACTTTTGTGCACTAAAATGCCTTTTAAAAAGTCCTGGAAAGGGCTAGAGGGCTGCAAAAGGAATTAAAATGGGGGTAAGAGTGGGACAAGTGCCCTGCAAACAAATGTGGATAGGGAAATCACGTAAAATAACTTAAAATAACATAAAATAAACAGCTGCTTAGTAGATAACTCCCTAATTCCCACAGTATTAGGGAGCTATCTACCAAAAGGCTGAAAGACCTAAATTGGTGTTTCAGCCACATTTACTAATACTAAGTAAAGATTACTTAGTATTAGTAAATTCAGCCCCTACTCGCTATACCGCGAGTAGGGTCGTGTCTAATAAACAGTGAGCAGCCACTAGCTGCTCACTGTAAAAACAAAAAAAACAACCTATTGGCCCCCACCCCTGAGAGGCGGATGGGGGCCCTAAAGTAAAATAAGGGGAGGACCTACTGTCCTCCCCCTCGGCCCCCACCCCTGAGCGGCGGGTGGGGGCCCTAAATAACAATGAGTCTGTCCTCCCCCCGGCCCCCACCCTTGGGCGGTGGGTGGGGGCCCTACATAATAATGAGGGGGGTCCTATTGTCCTCCCCCTTGGCCCCCACCTTTGTGCGTCGGGTGGGGTCCCTAAATAAAAATTTAATCCCCCCCCAAAAAAATAACCCCTACCTACCCCCCTCATCCTAAAAATAATGAGGGGGGACCCTTATCTAAATACCTGTAAAAAAAAAACACAAAAAAAAAACATACCATTTGATGTTTTCTTTCTTCTAAAATCTTTTTTTCAGCCCCAAAAAAGGCCAAATAAAAATCCATAATAACCGACGCACTTAATAAAAAATAAAATAGGAATTTTGCATCCCCCCTTCCTGATACTTACCTTAGGCCAGAAAGGGAGGAACACAATCCCTGTTGGTCTGGTGGGAAAAGTTGCTGTCTGCACCACAGGAGACAGCTTCTTCCGTCTGGTGCTGGTGGATTATAACGGAGCAGTGCTGCGGTAACGGATGATAACCCTATTATACAATAGTGAGCGCCAGCCCTGCCAGGGTTCTCCCATGTCAGCTTGCCTTGCCCAACGGCAGGAGACTCAGCTGGTCAATGAGGGAGATTTCACCCCCACACTTGCCTGCCACCACCAGTGCGTGGCCTCAGCGGCCTAACAGCAAATCCGGCCCTGGTCTCATTCATCTATAATAATATACATTTTATCTGTATTAAGATTTAATTCATTAGGTAAGACTGATACAGTTTTATAGTGATAGTGTAATTTTTATCTGTCGAACCCAAATACAGTAGAGATCCCATCCATTTCCCCTTTTTTTTCAGCCATTTAAATTGGGGTCCCCATTAGGGCTTGGTTTTTGACGCAATGCTGCTTTGAAATGACTGTATGAGGTTTAAATTCTGTTTATTTTTCTTTTAGGGCTATGCCACTCTGAACATTCTGGATAAGATCTGGTAATTCTAACTTCAAGAAGCAGATTCTACTAAATTGAAATTCCACTTCTAACACTCAAGATACACGGTGTAGATACTCTTTAAGATGTTTGAAAGACCTGACTGATAATCTGCAGTTATTTGTGCCTTTTTGGAGCTATTCTCAACAAATCTTAAAGGATCTTGTGTTTCATGTAGTAGTGTGATTCCCTTCCTGTGTATTTCAAATAAAATTATAATGTCCCTAATCACAAATAATGTGTTAATAGTCTTATTGTATAATTACAACTTATAATATGATTACAGTTTATTATATTACATATTATTGTATCATTACAGTTTATTATATTATTATAGCTTATTGTATAATTACCCCACAGGTCCAAAACTGTTTTAAGATACATAAATTAACCTGTCATTCTACCTAAGGAGATCTGAATACCTGCCAGCTCAGATCGCACACAGAGTCCTTCACTAAACTGTGAATTGCTGGACATCAATCAGGGAACTGCCATTTCTGTCTCCAGGTTCAGGGCCCTCAAGATGTCAGTCATCAATATATACACATATAGGCGCACGGTCACAGATAAACTCACACATACAAACACTCACGGATTCACACATGCAGATTCGTACTCACAGACACACTCACAGATTCCCCCATGACTGACACTCACACATACAAACAATCACGGACAGACACATACCTGTACATGACAGGTGCATAGTCGCCATATGGACAGGGGTTGTATGTATAACCTGAACCAAACCCACCCGATAAGACACCGACACTCAAGGGTATGGGTCAAAATTATCAACAGCTTTAATAATAAAGTAATAATAATAATAATCCCCAACATCATATCATCTCTCCCATATTTAAATCAAGGCAATGACCCACAACATAACACATTTCCCAATATATAACAACCATATAAATATAACATGTAAAGTACCAACATTGATCAATTTCACCTGGTAGGGGTATACCCAGATACTCCTACACCATCGAGGTTCTGAGCCACCAACAGACTCAAAACCTACCAAGCATGTCTGAACAGTGTACCCTTTTAACCAATCAACTAACTCCTCTTACTCCGATATTAACTAAGGCCCATTTTCCCTAAATGTTCCTTACTCTGCCCCGCCACAAGCTCAGATCTTGAAAACTTAAGTCGTCTGAGCTCCGCCACCCCGCAGAATAATGCTCTGGCCTTCCTGCAACCTCTGAGAGATGGACTCTTCCACCTCCTAGCTCCCTGTGCCAGACCACCACTCCCCCCACCTTCCTGACAAAGCTAACCATCAACCCATTTACCTTTGCTCTGCAGTGACCAACCGCTGCCGGATCCCGTGTGTGCCGCCAACAGAGCCGGGGAACAATTTCTGGCCAGACAGCTGCACCTCAGGGACCCTTGCCCTAATAAGGTTAATATCCTGCTTCATCTGCTTAACCAAGATACGCTGTGGGATAAGTCCGAGTTCATTACCACCTGCGGGTAAGACCAGCAGATCCGGTCTTCTACCCCCCGCCAACATCCTGAACATCTCACTGCAGACTTCCTGCCACCCGTAGCCCTTGTAGCCAAACCAAAGCAACCTCATCCGGTCCTAAGGGAAGCCCAGCTGCTGACCTTGAAAACGAGCCGCAGCTCTCCTTTTGGCTCAGAAAATGAAGGAATGGCCCACGATCCAAGCCACTTGACCTACAGGAACAAGAGAAACATGTCAGCCAAGGCACAGTCCCTCAAGCTGACCCCCAAGCTAGCCCTCACACTAGTTTGTGAAGGCAAATGTAAGACCAGAACCGAACTGATTCCCACCTGCCAATCTTTTTCACGCACTCATCTGCCAAGCCCAACCTTGTTGCCTCCGTCGCAGCCCCTATCCTAAACGAGTGTGTCCCGAACTGGCTCGGCCAGAGGTCCAGCCTGCTGAGCCCCATCCGAAAGACCCTGAGGAACTGGAAACGGGAGAGTGAGAAACCATCAATGTGTACTAAGAACAAGCCACCAGTCGTTGGCTGCCGAGACAAGTATCGAGAAGTACTGGCCACCAGGCACAAAGGGGATCAAAAGCAATATCCCACCTTGACTCGCCTTGTTAGCGCTGACCAGATCCTCGATTCGGAAAGTGACGAAGAAGGCCAGCAAGAATGCCACTTTGAACAACTCTGTTTCGGAACCATCGAAGCAGATGTCCCAGAGGGAAAACACCAGCTTTTCCAGGAGCAAAATAGAAACCGGTCTCCTGGCGTCCTGGGACACGTTACCCTTTCGTAAACACTTGAGCGCTTGCCTTATCACAAAGTGCTTCATAAAACTCACCCACCCCTACAGCTTAAACAAAAATGCTAGCACAGCCATGTGTCTATCCTCCACTGCCGGGGAGGAGTCCTTGCTAAGCAGACAAAACCACCTACCACGACCCTATCCAAACCCTCCAGCGACCGTTCGCATGCATCCCGAACCTTACAATATGCCGTCCAGGTACCCGGGGCTAACAATGCCCTCAGCAGTCCCCTAAGCAGGACATTACGACCTGCCACATCTCTGCCAGGCAGTCTTCCCTGACCTCCCACGCCCCAGACGCCTCCTTTGGAATCGGGACCACCGCGAACGAGACAGAGCATCAGCTACCACATTCAAAAACCCTGGTACATGTCGCAAGCAAAACACCACATTGAGGGACATACAGAGCAAAACAAACCTCCGCAACACACACACCACTGACACCGAAGCGGTCGACATATTATTAACTACATGCATCACCACCATATTATCCATATAGAATACCACCTTTCTATCGCTCAGGAGTTTACCCCAGAGTGACAAGGCAACCACCAATGGGAACAGTTCCAGGAAAGCCAGATTCCGCAGCAGCGGGCTTCCCAGCCATGCAGCTGACCCCTCCCCCCCAAAGTACACATCGAATCCCAAGCTATCAGAGGCATTTGTATACAGCTACAGTTCGGCTGCTGAAACCGCCTCCCGCCAAAAGAACACAGAGCCATTGAAATGCTCCAGGAACGTGTCACAAATCCCCTGGTCAGCCCTCATGGACGAGGATACCTGCACTAAGTGGTGTGGCAGATGCACCCCCGCCGTAGCCCTGGAAAGGCTCCGGCTGAATACCCGCCCCATGCGAACGACCCGAGAAGCGAAGTTGTGCTTACTGATAAGTGAATGCGTTTAGACTGGAAGAAAGAAGATTTCGCCTAAGGCAAAGGAAAGGTTTTTTTACTGTAAGAACAATCAGGATGTGGAATTCTCTGCCTGAGGAAGTGGTTTTATCAGAGTCCATACAGATGTTCAAACGGCTACTAGATGCATACTTGCAAGAACAGAATATTCAAGGATATAATCTTTCAATGTAGGGTAATAACTGCTTGATCCAAGGATAAATCTGACTGCCATTCTGGGGTCAAGAAGGAATTTTTTTCCTAGCTTGTTGCAAAATTGTGCTTCAAACTGGGTTTTTTTGCCTTCTTTTGGATCAACAGCAAAAAACAAATGTGAGGAAGGCTGAACTTGATGGACGCAAGTCTCTTTTCAGCTATGTAACTATGTAACTATGTAACTATGTAACTATGAATGCAGCTCCCTCAATGTGACCTTCTGCGACCGCCAGATTGCCACCACCGCCTCCCGTGGCCCCACGAGTTTCGCCAAGGGAAGACAGAACTCTTGCAGGTAGTTAATTTCCAGCCCAAGGAAACTCAAACACGTGGACGGGCTCTCCCTTTTGTCCGCCGCCAGTGGCACTCCAAAAGTGCTGGCCACCCACTCAATCATCCTCAATAAGTAGCGGCAGGTCGGGGAATCCACCAGACCCACACAAAAGCAGTAATCCAGGTAGTGTACCACCGCCCAGCTCCCCGACTTCACCACCCATTCGGGAAATGAGCTGGACTTCTCAAAGTACAAACATCAAGCATCACCCTCTCCATCTCCCATCTGGCAGCAGAGGAGAGAGAGCGAGGCTCAGGGAGAATGCTGTAGCTAGCTACTGGGTTTTAAATGAGGGGGGCTGATTCCTAATGGTGGCAGAGGTGTGAGGGAATATAATTTCTAATCGTGACTGTAGAGGGAGGGTGATGCATTATGGTGGTGGGAGAGGGGTTATTCCTATTGGTGGTGGAAGTGATGACTAATGATGAAGTGAGAGGGGAGTGAGGTGATACCTTGAGGTGATGGGAGGGGGAGATACCAAGTGGTGATGAAAGAGGAAGGAGGGTGATTCCTCATGGTGATGTTCACATCATTACGAGGCATCACCCCTTCCCTCTCTCATCACCAATCTCCATTCTCCATTAGGCATCACAATAATCCCACCGCCATTGGGATTTACCACTTTCCTAACACTAATATTAGGCTAACCTCTTTCTGTCCTGCAATTAGCAGCATGAGCAGCCATTCCCACCTCCTCTTACTATCTAACCATATAGCAGTCTCCAGCAGAGTCACAGCTGGCATCTTCTAATTTCAAGCGGGTTTTTGTTTGCTCTCCCTGTTGCCTGCTGGATAGCAAATGTGTGGGTGGTTCAGGTGGATTTAGCTGTCGCGCCGTGCGAACCTGCAGCCGGTCCTATGAGCTGTCACCAGTCACGGATCCAGAGGGGGAGGACCAGGACAAATGCCCCCACACCGGGGAAGCCATTGTGCAATTTGTTGACTAGGTGGCACCTTGACAAGTGCCTCCCCCTAGATGCCAGGGATATTTATTGTCTGGCCATTGGTAGGGGCTTGCCAAAGGAACATCCTCAAAGATAGGGGGATGTTCCTTTATTCAGTTCTTCCTGAAAGCTATGCATTCCCAGGCATCTTGGGGGCCACCTGCCAAGGTCCTCCTTCCCCAACAAATCGCACATTGCCACAGTCCCAAAGGTAGGAATCCAGGAGCAGTCATGGATTGGAAACACCCTCACATTACCACAAGCTCAGTGTTGGAATGAGTCTTCAGATGTCACCACCATTCTTTTTGTCATAGCTATATGATAGGCTAACCCTCTGGTTATGGTGTTTAGATTTCACCTTTAATTTGATGGATTTATATCAAGTGATTGAACAGTGAATATGAATGAAAACCAGAGTCATTTTTTAGCTGTTATATTTCGTGCAGTAGTGTGATCCTGTGTATTTCAGCTAAAAAATCGCAAATAATTTGTTAATGTTCTGTTACAATATTTTGGCTTTCTCACTTACCTGGTAACCTTATGGGCCGATCCTGAAAACATTTGTAGAA